AGAAACCATAGAAAGGGTGTGAGAGAAAAGAGAGGAGAGAGAGAGAAAGAGAGAGAGAAAAGAGAATAAAAAGATGGAGAGAGAGAAGAGAAGGAGGAGAAAAGAGAGAGAAGGAGAAAGAGAAGAAGAAGGATAAAACGGGACAGAGATTAAACCAGAACTAAACCAAAATCTCGACTCTGGACTGAGACTAAACCAGGATTTAGTTCAGATTAAACTCTGCACTTAACCAGGACTAAACCAGAACTGTGTCAGGAAGTGCTCTGTTTGCATGCTAGTCACCGTTAACACTACAATGACGTCAAAACTCGGCTCTGGTTTCTTGTGAAAATCGAAAAAACTCATGAGTAAAAACTGAAATTGCGATGAAAAAAATGAACTTTAGACACCGAAAACTGTTTTTAAAATGAACTTTCACGTTTCTAAAGACGTTAAAAATCAGGCGCAGAGACTTTAAAACGTAAATTTAAATCTAAAAAGACAAAAAAGGCAGTTTAACGTTTAACACAAATAACTTAAATAAAATATAAATATCGAAAACACACAGATAAAAAATAAATTAGAGTTTTTATGATCGAGTTTCCAGCAGATCCCACAGCGCAGAGAAAAGACTAGAGGACGCCGGAATGTTCCACAGTACGGCATTAAACGTATCCATCGCCACGACGACCGGGCGTGGACACTAAACTAAGCCGGGTCAGGTCCGCGGAGAGGCGAAGGCGCTCACAGTAAGAATGAATGTTTTTGTTTTTTCTTTGGCAATAAATAAAAACGGCCGAGTGAAAGAGTTAAATAAGTGTGTTTAATGCCGCACTGTGGGACATTCGAAGCCCATCAACGGCATCTCCATGGAGACGAGCAGAAAAGTTACACAGGTGCGTCTTTAAACTGCGTTGTTGGAAATACAGATGTAGAAGAGAAAACGGAACAAACGATCTGAAACTGAAACACGCCACGTTTACAGGATGATTTATAATCTGAACTGAATACATTTAAGATCAGGACTAAAACCAGGACTAAACCAGGACTAAACCAGGACTAAACCAGGTCTAAACCAGGACTAAACCAAGGACTAAACCAGGTCTAAACCAGGACTAAAACCAGGACTAAACCAGGACTAAAACCAGGACTAAACCAGGACTAAACCAGGACTAAACCACCAGGACTAAACCAGGACTAAACCAGGACTAAACCAGGACTAAACCAGGACTAAACCAGGACTAAAACCAGGACTAAAACCAGGACTAAAACCAGGACTAAACCAGGACTAAAACCAGGTCTAAAACAGGCCTAAACCAGGACTAAACCAGGACTAAACCAGGACTAAACCAGGACTAAAACCAGGACTAAACCAGGACTAAAACCAGGACTAAACCAGGACTAAAACCAGGGCTAAACCAGGACTAAACCAGGACTAAACCAGACTAAAAGGTCCAGGACTAAACCAGGACTAAAACCAGGGCTAAACCAGGACTAAACAGGTCTAAACCAGGACTAAACCAGGACTAAAACCAGGGCTAAACCAGGACTAAACCAGGTCTAAACCAGGACTAAACCAGGTCTAAAATCAGGACTAAAACTGGTCTAAACCAGGACTAAACCAGGTCTAAACCAGGGCTAAACCAGGTCTAAAATCCAGGACTAAAACTGTGTCTAAACCAGGACTAAACCAGGTCTAAAACCAGGGCTAAACCAGGTCTAAAATCAGGACTAAAACTGTCTAAACAGTCTAAAACCAGGACTAATCCACGATTAAACAGGACTAAACCAGGTCTATACCAGAACTAAACAAGAACTAAAACCAGGATTTAACAGGACTAAACCAGGACCATAATTATTTTTAAGAAGAATAAACATTTACATGATCCAGGAATAAATAAATTTGGCTTTAAAATCAGAATAAACCACCAACTTAATCCGAAATTAAGTTTAATTCTGAATAATCACTTTCATTACGAATTAAGTGTTTACATGGACTTTTAAAGCAGAATTAAATTATTTTTATTCAGAGTTAAATCTCTCATGTAAACGTGGCAGCTCAGACTCGGACAGTGACGTGTAATGTGCTTCGAACCATCAGAACATTTCATTAAAAAACAAAACAAAACAAAATAAATCCCAGCGCCGCGTCGGGCACAAACACAAGCGCCGACCTCACAGACATCGAGACATTTGCCCCGTATCCAAAAGTACACTTACTCACGTATAAAAATGCAAAAAAAAGTCCAAATCAAATCTCTTAAAAAAAAAACATTTTCAAGTCCAGGTAGATTTTTTTAAACTTTCCCTTTGAGTCCGTTTAAAGGTTGTATGGAGGATTTTTTGTTTGTTTCAAATTGTCAATGAAAGTTTAAAACACCATTACAGAGACGCAGCAGCCTTGTAATTATGATGACCAAAAAAAAAAAAAAGAATGAAAATTTATCAACTGTGGACGTGTTGAAGCCAGATAAACATCAGCCAATAGAAAACGAGGCTGCCTCTTTATCTATTGGCTGTCAGGTCGTCAATCAAACTCCCTACGTTTCTAGTGTAACTGACTCGTCGGGATGCGGGGATCACGTGGTTTATGCAGCGGTTCTTAGAGGCTTTTTCAAACTGTCGCTTCCTCACATTTCGCAGTTTCAGTTTGTTGCGATGGCGAACGAGAATCCACGACCAGTTCGCCGCAAAAGAAAGTCGGTTTTTGAGGTCGCTGAAAGAAGAAGAGAAGGGGAAAAGGAGCGAAGACAAACAGAGGTGATTCTTGGAGATTCCTTCCAGCGATTGCGCGAATGAAGCGGACGAAGGGTCTAAAAACTGACGCATCGGTTGCTAAATTATTTCTAGACATGTCATTTCAACAGTAATTCTGAACGCGCACTGGCTGTAAAAAAAAAACGTGATTTTTAGAGTAAAGAGGCGGGAGGAGGTGTTTCTACTGAGGCTGTGGAGGATGAAGGTGGTGTCACACATGCACAACATTTGTAAAAGAACTGTCGCTGTATTTCTCTTCCCTTAAAAAAATCCTCTATACAACCTTTAAGTTTCTGTTCCTCCGTCTGCCACGTGGAGGCGCTGTTCTGGGCTGGAGTTCCTCTGCTGGCGAGAATCTGTAAAAAGTCCTTGGTCCAGACTGGTGATTTAAATCCTTTTTCGCTCGTCCTTTGAGTCCGTCAGACATTTCATTTTCTGGCCTGATTCTAAAAAGCCCAAACTCCTCCCACTTTTACTTTTAGTTCTTATTTAAAGGTTCAGTATCGTGTAGAATTCTTCTGATTTGTAAACATTTCCAGTTCAATGTGACTTGTGTTTTTAAACACACTGACTTTAAACGGTCCAAAAGTGTCGCACACGTGACACTGGAGACACGACCACGTCACACACAACACGGACCAACCAGAGCCAGAGCATGAACAGAAGATCTAAACCAGGTCTAAACCAGGTCCAAACCAGGACTAAAACCAGGTCTAAGCCAGGTCTAAACTAGGGCATAAACCAGGTCTAAACCAGGACTTAAACCAGGACTAAAACCAGATCTAAGCCAGGGCTTAAATCAGGACTAAAACAAAGTCTAAACCAGAATTTAAACCAGGTCTAAACCAGGACTTAAACCAGGACTTAAATCAGGTCTAAACCAGCACCAAACTAGGGCATAAACCAGGTCTAAACCAGGACTTAAACCAAGTCTAAACCAGGATTTAAACCAAGTCTAAACCAGGCCTAAATGAGGTCTTAAATCTAGGTCTAAACCAGGACCAAACCAGGACTAAAACCAGGTCTAAACCAGGACTAAAACCAAGTCTAAACCAGGACTTAAACCAGGACTTAAATCAGGTCTAAACCAGCACCAAACCAGGGCATAAACCAGGTCTAAATGAGGTCTTAAATCTAGGTCTAAACCAGGACCAAACCAGGGCATAAACCAGGTCTAAACCAGGACTTAAATCAGGACTTAAATCATGTCTAAACCAGGCCTAAACGAGGTCTTAAACCAGGTCTAAACCAGGACTTAAACCAGAATTTAAACCAGGTCTAAACCAGGACTTAAACCAAGTCTAAACCAGGACTTAAACCAAGTCTAAACCAGGACTTAAACCAGGTCTAAACCAGGCCTAAACAAGGTCTTAAATCTAGGTCTAAACCAGGACCAAACCAGGCCATAAACCAGGTCTAAACCAGGACTTAAACCAAGTCTAAACCAGGATTTAAACCAGGTCTAAACCAGGCCTAAATGAGGTCTTAAATCTAGGTCTAAACCAGGACCAAACCAGGACTTAAACCAAGTCTAAACCAGGACTTAAACCAAGTCTAAACCAGGACTTAAATTACGTCTAAACCAGACTAAACCAGGACTTAAATCAGGTCTAAACCAGAATTAAACCAAGACTTAAAACAGGACTAAAATCAGGCCTAAAACTAGGTCTAAACCAGGCCACCAGTCCATGAAAATATTTTCCCGAAAAGAGCGCTGCCGCAACTTAATAATTTCCTTGTGTTTGGATGTTTGGAACGGCGGAATGTTGAAAAAAAACCTAAAGTGCCGCCAGTCTGAAATGTCGGAGTGCAGGGACGTTTGACAAAAATGGAAATGTCGCCACAGGCAGGTGATGTACGCTCCACCAGAAATAAAAGTAAATTCTACATAATACAGAACCTTTAAAAACAATATTTCCTCCTTTTGCCACAAGAGGGCGCTGTCTCCAATATGAAGTACATGTAAATATATTTCCCAGTTGCATTTTCAGCATCTCCTTTTGTTCCTAATCAGACAAAAATGGCGTTATTTCCATAGAACCTCAGCTTGGATCTGTTGTATCTTCCTGTGCAACGCTCTGTCGCATTTACACTGACATCGTTTCATCGCGGTGAACTGAAACCGCTGACTGAACTTCCAGATTTTAAGTTTTTCCAACGTTATGGCTTTCTAACAGACTCCGATTTGTTTTGCGTAACCTCTTTTGTTGCATTGTTTTACGCCGGTCTTGTGCCGCTGCTACAGAAGGCGTCAGTTCCTCCTCCTACCACACGGGGGAGCTGCTTTGCGTCTCCAACACGCCGTACATCTCCGCCAGCTTTTTAAACCGCGGCCCCCAGTCGTTCAGGTAGTCGTACTCGTGATCCGCGTTCGACACCCCGGACTGCAGCGAGCTCAGCGACTCCGCCACCGAGCCCTCGCCTTCGTACGCGTAAGTCTGCAGAGAGTCGTACGGCGGCGCGCACGGGTCCACGTCCGCCTCGATCAGCTTCGCCAGGACGTATCCGTGCACGTTCCCGTCGGGAGAGGAGGTGGGGCCGACGACGCGGGCCTGGGGGACGTAGCGGGACAGGCTCTGGATCTCCGGGAGCATGTCCTGGCGCAGTTTGGCGTGAGGGTGCACTTCCCTCGGGTTCCACATGGCGGCGATGTCGAAGGCCTCGGTGTCTTCTTCGCCGCCGCCCTCGTCGTCGTAGCGGACGATGTTTTCGTGGACGTTCTCCTCTTGGTCCATGAGGTACGGCTTCTTACGTTGAGAGCGCAGAGACAACATCAGGAGGATCAGGACTGAGAAGACAAAGAGACGTGAGAGGTTAGTTTAAAACAGGCATGTCCAAACTATGGCCCGGGGGCCAAATGCAGCCCTCAGACAATTTTTTCTTGGCCCTCAGACTTCCAGGTGAATTGGCCCAAATTACCTTGTATCAAATAAAAATATTTTTTTTACTGCAAGCTTTCTGAAAATCTACCTTGATAAACTAATATTTAATATTTAGTGTGTGATTTTAAGGATCTTAGTGTGAATAAAGACGGTTCTTTCTAATGTGTTAAAATGCACATATTTCATTTATTCACTGTATTGAGCTCCAGTCTACGGCCCTCGATCAGTCCTCTGCTTCATCTCTGTTTAGATATGTGGCCCTTGATGAAAAAAGTTTGGAAACAACTTTAGTGATTGTGTTTTAGAAAACATCCATCCTGAATTTCAAACTTCCGGTCAATGTGCAATTCACACTGGGAAGGATTTTCCGAAAAAGTGAGCATCAAACCTCCATGTTTGTTTTCCCAGTGGGACGTGTCTATTGTCTAAGTCGATCTTTTCAAGTCTTTTGAACCATATCACTTTTGTTTCTGGTTCTGATATTGTCATATTTTAGTTTTGATTCGGACATGGTAATTATGTGGTTGTTGGATCCAAACAGCGGAAAACAGCTCGAGAAACGGGCTTCGGAAGTTTGTGAACCATAACAGCAAAAGTGAATCAGATGTGTGTGACTCAAACCTCTGTTCAAACTGTTTCTCTTTCCAACGGAATTGAAAAATAGTGAAAGGTGAAGGTGATGGGCAGGAAGGACCAAAAAGGAAACATTTGTCTTATATTTTATGCTTTTACTAAATGGGATTATTATCTTTGAGACACTGTTGTGCTTAGAGCCCGTTGATACGCTGCGATATTAAAACTGTTTTGTTTTGTTTTTTCTTTTCTCTGAGTGGACTGATGGATCAGCAGGAGACGTACGGATGGATTTGAAAACATAAACAAGGCGACGGTCCAAGGTTAGAAAGCAAAACTAAAAAGCTTCGGCTCGCGTCATATAAACGGCGAACATCAACTTTTGTAAATCATCCAGGTTACGTAACCCTGGTTCTCTGAGGGAACAGAAACTCATTGCTTCGTAATTATGTTAAAGGTGGATTGTGTAACTTTTCTGGTGGATGGAGATGTTATTGCTTTGTCTGAAATGTTTCGCAGTATGGCATTAAACCATTTTATCTTCATGGTCATCAAATCAGTCCAAGTTACAGGTCAGATCTGTGGAGAGGCGACCTCACGCAGTCAGAATGTTTGGTTTTTCGAGGTGTTTTTGAGCTGAAAAACCACCTGTAATTGAATAAACGTAAAGTAGAGCTGTTTAATGGACCCGCCACCAGAAAAGTTACACAATGTACCTTTAAATTGTGAAGAGTTTGTTCAGTTTCAGAGTTGTTTAGTTGTGTTAAAATTGTCTTACTGAGCAGTACGAATATGCAGGCGAGGATGGCGATGAGCGCGCCGCGGCTCAGGTTGGCGGGCAGCGTGTAGGCCTCTGCGTTACAGGACAGCACCTCCCCCTGGTGGTCGCAGCTGCACACGCGGATGGTCAGAGTGGTGGTGCTGGTCTGAGCCGGCTCCTCCCCGTCCCTGACCGAGATGGGCAAAAAGAACGCCGTCTGGTCCCTGAGAGCCCAACCGCTACGCCGCGTCAAAATCCACGCCGAGTTATCTGAAAAAGACGAGGAGAAATGATTTAAAATGAATCCTCTGCGTCATCTAAAATCATCCTCTGCTCCAGTTGCTGTAGGTTTGATCTCTGCCGTGGAACAGCCTAGAAAAGTTGAACAATTTATCTTTAAGTAAATTACTCGAGTAAAAGTAGCTGTTGTTAGTTCTGGCTTTTTTAAACACAGGCACGTTTTTTAAAGGGTCATTAATCTGTATTTCAGACTTCATCAGTTTTGTCAATTATAAAGCTCCAGTTTAAAAGTCTGACTGAACTGTGACTGGACATAAACATTTAGACTTTAAAGATAAGATGTATTGATAAGTTATATTGATAGGTTGTATTGATACCTTGATTGTCGCGCAGGGTGAAGTTGGGGTTAGTTTGACCCTGTGGAGACAGACTGTAGTAGAATCGATGTCCTCCCTGTGGCTCGTCCGGGTCCAGAGCCGTCACTGACTGGATCAGCTGAAAAAAACAAACAAAAACACAACATTTTACAACAGCAGCTCCACCCAGGGCTGTTTGACTCCCGATAAATGTTTTTCTGTGTCAAAATGTGTGTGTAAATGTGTGTGTAAATGTGTGTGTAAATGTGTGTCTCCAGCAGTTTCATAAATCTGCTCCATCACCAAATCTTCAACCAACAAACTCCACAAAGGAGAAACATTCTAACATGAACAATTTATCCACAACGATCAAGAGAAGAAAGAACAAAACTTAAAGGAAACAACGACGACGACACATTAGTCACACACTCAACAAAACTAATGTAATGATCATTGGAAGTGCACAAATCGATTTTTAATTTTAATTCTAGAAACAGTCTGAGTGATGAAGTTACTCATGTTTGTTTTATTTATATTTATTACCATTAAATGTAATTAAAATGTTAATTAAATTCAATATCAAAAAATGTGCAGACCAGGGAGGGGCTGCCTCATCCTTTGAGCCCAGTTTTTGTGATGGTATTGCTCCGTTGCTCTGGTTTTCTTAGAGCAGACATGTCAAACTCAGGCCCAGGGGCCAAATTTGGCCCACAATATAATTATTTTTGGCCCATGAGATCATATCAAATCTGTATTAGAGTTGCCGCTGCACACAGATAAACACATTATTTATTTAAAATGCTGTTATTTTATATTCTGTTTGTTCTGGATTCAATGTTTAATCAAAACTATTATTAAACATTTATTTTAATAAGAAAAGGTTTAACATTACAGATCTCAAAAGAAGAGAAAACATACAGATGCTGATGAAAATTTTCAATAAATATTTAGTTTGGCGCTCGTCTTAGTCCCAGTTTTTAATTCTGGCCTCTGTGATGTTGAGTTTGACTCTTCTGTCTTGTCACTGTGTCACCGCGAGCACAAAGAGCAGCTGAAACTTCAGATCTGAATTGGCTTTGATCAGATTTAGGATTATTTCTGTCATGGAACGACTTGAGGCTTAAACTGGAGCTGGAATTAGATTAAACCTGGACTTTGTAAGCAACTTCGATGGAAAACCCCCCTCGTATTGAACGTACAATAACAGAGCAGCTGTTTATACTCAACACTAGACCCAATTTAATATAAAACACAACTGTATGTCACATGTACATAGTCGGGGATCCCTGCTCCAGAGCTACATCAGTTTGGAGGTCCCTGGTCTGAAAAACCTTGAAGAACTCTGATTTAGTTTTACCGCGTCAAAGATACTCTATATAAATAATAAGAACTATTTACCATTTGCACTAGACCCACATAAGAAACTGTCTTTTATTACTGCTCCTGATGATTTGATGTGACTCGAACTGGCGTTTTTTGCTTAATTTTCTTGCTTCATTTATCTTTGTTTACTGTAGTGGTTAGAGATGATGTTATTTGTTGTGTCTGTGCACGTACATGTTGTCTTGTCTTGTACTTTAATGTTTTGTCTAGACATGGGACAGAGAGAAATGTAATTTTGATTTCTCTGTATGTCTGTTACATGTGGAGAAATTGACAATAAAGCGAATTTTGAACATTAATATAAAACAGTTTGTCTTCTCTCGTACCTGTCCGGCCTTGGCGTTGTCGCACATGAAGGTCTCCAGGTAGTGGCTTAAACTGGGAGGGTTGTCGTTCACGTCCAGGAGCCTGATGGCCACAGGGACGCTGGAGATCTGAGACGGGTTATCTGCACACAGGACCAGGACACAAACCAACTCTGAGAAACATCACACGCTTCAAATCTCCTTTCATTTCAGAGCAAAATCTGTGAAATTCAGCTTCCACTTTCTCAGAGCTTCAGGACTCGGAGCTCAGACCCTGTGGACTTTGTGAAACAGGATGACACACTTTCACTTTGTCGACATGAGGCGTTTTAAAACGGTGTCAGGAGCTTGAAATTTTAATTTGTATTTATTTTATTATTTAAGATTTTACACACCACTTTAAGTCCTGGTTTCAACCTGTTTAGACCTGGTTTAGACCTGGTTTAGTTCTGATTTAGACTTGGTTTAGGTCTTATTAGGACTGGTTTGGACTTGGTTTAGTCCTGATACAGACCTGGTTCAGTCCTAGTTAAGTCCTGTGTTAGTCCTGGTCCTTGGTTTGGTCAAGTCCTAATTTAGATTTGGTTTAGACACTGGCTTAGACCTGGTTTAGTCCGGAGTTAGTCCTAGTCTAGACATTGGTCAAGTCCTGGTTTAGCCCTGGTTTAGTCCTACTTTACATATTGGTTTAGACCTGGTTTAATCCTGATTTAGACTTGGTTTAGTTCTGGTTTAGTCCTAGTTTAGACATTGGTGTAGACCTGGTTTAGTCCTGGTTTAGTCCTAGTTTATACATTGGTTTAGACTTGGTTTAGTCCTAGTTTAGACATTGGTTTAGACCTCGTTTAGTCCGGATTTAGTCCTACTTTAGACGTAGTTTAGACCTGGTTTAGTCCGCTCTGTTTTCTTGTGAGTAAGATCACGTTTAATCCTGATTAAGTCTTGAATTAGTCCTGATTTGGTTTAGACGTACTTTGACTGATTCATTTCTGGTTTAGTCCTGGTTCAGAACATTCATATTATAATACTCCCTACAACTGGACAACAACTCACCCTCACCCTTTGATTATATTTCTATTTTAATATTACTTGTACATTTACATTTATATAATTAAACCTTATTTGACACCTGTCTTTTGCTATTTTTGCTACTTACTTAGATTTATTTTTTATTTTTATACCATTTATGTTTTTTCTCTTCATTATTATATTATTTTGTGATTTGTGAATCACTTGTGACCAAATAAAAATAAAATTTGCCCAAGTCGAAGTCTAAATCTGGCGTATTAAGTGTAATTCAAACCATAGATTAAAAGAAATAAAAGATAAAACATGAAAAAAAGAGGGTTGGTACTTAAAAGCGGTTCATATATTTCTTCTTCTTTTTCCGTCTTTTCATGCTTGTTCAAAAGTCTGACTGAAAATGGTAGAAAAAAGGAACATGGACTTTAACAAGACCAACATAAAAACTCTCTAAAAATTCAGTTAGATCTCAAAAGTTAGAAGTTAAAAAGGAAAACAGGCCAAGAACAAACACATAGAAAAAGGCTGGTGGTGTCCCTCAGGGCTCAGTGTTAGGGTCCTTACTCTTTGTCCTCCCTCCTTCCTCCCTCCTTCTCCTTTTTCCTTTCCTCTTTCCTTTCCTTTGCCACTGGTCCATTAGCTCAGACCTTCTCCAGCCACGTAATAATTAAACTCAGGCTTAATTAGCTTCACTAACGGCGCGTTCACTTCATTGATCACACAGAGGTCGAACCTGCGGCCCACGAAAAGGTGCTTTAGGATGAAAAAAATTACACTTCTGGGAGTATTTTTTTAACGGAAACTCTAGAAGCGTTTCTGATTTTGTTGTTTTGCTTTTAATGTTCAGCACTATGGCATTAATTAAACAAATATATCATGTATTCAGGCAATTACGAGTGTTTTTATTTCTCAAAACTGCCGCAAAAAGATGCATTATTGTTGTTTAAGCAGGTCCACGTCTCCACAGATCTGACCTGTAACTTGGCCGGGTGATGTGAGCCACTTGTCTCCATGGAGATAGTGAAATAAAAAAAACAAAAAAAACAAAAAACAACAACAACATGGAGTCAAACAAATGTTGTGTGCCATTCATTCTTTTAAAATAAAAATGGAAAACAGTTTGTTATTTCATTTTTCTGTTTTTGTGTCAAACAAAAATCAGATTTCGACCTTCGAACAGCCTTGGTGCCTGTTTTTAATTTTGATATTTTATTCTCTAGCAGCAGAATTTCCGGGGCAAATAAACCAGAGAGAATAAAATAGGCACTGAGACTGTTTTCTGATTGGTGTAATTTATTTTGTGTTATTATAATAAACTTTAAATTAAATATTGGAAATAGAGGTCGAAATCTTTTATTTTTATTTTTTTAATTTAAATTAAATATTGGAAATAGAGGTTGAAATCTGTTTTTTTTTTTTTTTTTTTTAAATAAACTTTAAATTAAATATTGGAAATAGAAGTCAAAATCTTTTTAAATTTTTTTTATAAACTTTAAATTAAATATTGTAAACAGAGGTCGAAATCTTTTTATTTATTTATTTATTTTTTATAAACTTTAAATTAAATATTGGAAATAGAGGTCGAAATCTTTTTTTTATTATTATTGTTTTTTAATAAACTTTAAATTAAATATTGTAAACAGAGGTTGAAATCAGTTTTTTTTTTTTTTTTTTTTTTTTTTAATAAACTTTAAATAAAATATTGGAAATAGAGGTCGAAATCTTTTTTTTTTTTTTTTTACACTAAAGTGGAATATTGAAATAAATAATAAACTGTTTTCCCATTTTATTTTTTTCGTTCTTAATTGAAATTCAAAAGAACAAACAGGTACATGGACCATTGTGCCTGTTTTAATTTTGATGTTTTTTTCTCTCTGTTTTATTTGCCCTGGAAATTCTGCTGCGAGAAGGACTCACCTGACACTAAAACGGAAAAATAAAATAACAAACTGTTTTCCCATTTTATTATTTTTCATTCTTAATTAAAATTCAAAAGAACGAATCATACTCGAACCCAAGTGCTGCACCTTCTTCGAGAAAAGGTTAAAAAATTAGCTTTCTGACATTTATTTTTTCACTGTTGACTGAAATTATCTAAGCAAATAAACAAAAAAAAAAATTATATGTTTATCTTTAAAAACGTTACATAAAACAGAAAGTTATTTTGGTCACTGTTAAACCGTTTGGTCTTTTTGCTGTGAGCATCTGCGTCCACTGTGAGACCATCTGCTGAGAGCGGCAAAGTTACTCGAGCGAAAATCCACCTCGCACTGAAAGTACTTTGATTTAATTAGAATATGAATATTAATTAGACCCCAGAGTATCGAGCGATAACATTTAACCTTGGACTCACTTTTAAAACACACACTTTCAACGCCAAGCAAACGTTACCGAGGAGGGAACATGGGACTATGAGACCAGAAGTTCCTGGCGAAGAACGTTTATTTTTACAATTTTCGAGATGCCAATTTAATTTTAACCACATGTAATTAAAAGTACTTATTCAAAGCTGTAATTTAACTTTTGTTCATCATTAAAATTTATTATTTACTGGCTGCGTCTGGATCTCTAGCTTCCACAATTTCTGATCTCCATAATTGTAGTTTATCTTCTCTGACGTTATTGTAGTTTGAGTTCCTCCCAGACCTTCATATTTGTAGTTCTGACTCTCCCAGACCTCCATACTTGTAGTTCTGACCCTTTCTACCTACCATATTTGTAGTTCTGACCCTCCTAGACCTCCATACTTGTAGTTCTGACCCTCCCTGCCCACCATATTTGTAGTTCTGACCCTTCCAGACCTCCATACTTGTAGTTCTGACCATCCCAGACCTCCATACTTGTAATTCTGAACCTCTCTGCCCACCATATTTGTAGTTCTGACCCTTCCAGACCTCCATACTTGTAGTTCTGACCCTCTCTGCCCACCATATTTGTAGTTCTGACCCTTTTTGCCCACCATATTTGTAGTTCTGACCCTCCTAGCCCTCCATACTTGTAGTTCTGACCCTCCCTGCCCACCATATTTGTAGTTCTGACCTTCCCAGACCTCCATACTTGTAGTTCTGACCCTCTCTGCCCACCATATTTATAGTTCTGACCCTTCCAGACCTCCATACTTGTAGGTCTGACCCTCCTAGACCTCCATACTTGTAGTTCTGACCCTCCTAGACCTCCATACTTGTAGTTCTGACCCTTTCTGCCTACCATATTTGTAGTTCTGACCCTCCCAGACCTCCATACTTGTAGTTCTGACCCTCCTAGACCTCCATATTTGTAGTTCTGACTCTCCCAGACCTCCATACTTGTAGTTCTGACCCTCTCTGCCCACCATATTTGTAGTTCTGACCCTCCCAGACCTCCATACTTGTAGTTTATCGACGCTATCGAAAGTAGAGTACTGAGACTTTATGTACACGTACTCATCTCCATGGCGAGCACGGTGATGTTGTGCCATTCGACCTTCTCCCGGTCCAGGGCTCTCACGGTCATCAGGGCTCCTGTGGTCAGGTCGATGTAGAAGAACTTCTCCAGGTCACTGCCTTTGTCTATGGAGTACCTGAGTACACGAAAGTACACGTAAAACACACAAAATACACAAACATGAAGTAAATGCAACTGTGACAGATACAGGACTACACTCATACTATAATACTCCCTACAACTACCATAATACTCCCTACAATTACCATAATATTCCCTACAACTGTGCAACAACTCACTCTTATGTAACAGATAATACTCCCTACGACTGTGCAACTAACAGATAATACTCCCTACAACTGTACAACAAATCAGATAATACTCCCTACAACTGTGCAACAACTCACCTATATGTAACAGATAATACTCCCTACAACTGTACAACAACTCACCCTTATGTAACAGATAATACTCCCTACAACTGTACAACAAAACAGATAATACTCCCTACAACTGTACAACAACTTACACTTATGTAACAGATAATCATTATATCATCCTTGTTTTTCTTTTTTTACATTAAAAAAAAAATATTTTTCCTATATTTAATTTAATTTTTTACAAAGTCTGAGTGTGTGAGGAGGAATCTGACCCACAACCTTCTGGCTGAGGGGCGACAGGCTCAGCTCAGACGCCTCTTATCTCCCTGAAACACACTCAGACCCTGTGGACTTTGTGAAACAGGATGACACACTTTCACTTTGTCGACATGAGGCGTTTTAAAACGGTGTCAGGAGCTTAAAATTTTAATTTGTATTTATTTTATTATTTAAGATTTTACGCACCACTTTAAGTCCTGGTTTCAACCTGTTTTGTTAGGACCTGGTTTAGACCTGGTTTAGACCTGGTTTAGACCTGGTTTAGGACTGGTATTTCTGGTTTAGTTCTGTTTTATACCTTAGGACTTGATTTGGACTTAGTTTAGTCCTGGTTCAGTCCTGGTTTCAAATTGGTTTGGTCAAGCCCTGGTGTCGTCCTGGTTTAATCCTGATTTAGTCTTGGTTTAGATCTTGTTTAGTCATTACACAGACACGGTTCAGTCCTAGTTAAGTCCCGTGTTAGTCCTGGTTTGAACTTGATTTGGTCAAGTCCTGATTTAATCCTGATGCAGTCCTGGTTTAGTCCTGGTTTACATTTGGTTCAGTCCTGGTTTAGTCTTGGTTTTGTCCTGGTTTAGTCCTGGTTAAGTCCTGGTTAGTCCTGGTTTAGTCCGGTTGCAGTCCTAATTTATTCCTAGTTTAGACCTGGTTTAGACCTGGTTTGGTCTTGGTTCTGGTTTGTTCTGGTTTAGTCCTGGTTTAGACCTGGTTTAGAAGTGAGTTTAGACCTGATTTAAAAGTGAGTTTAGACCTGGTTTAGACCTGGTTTAGAAGTGTTTAGACCTGGTTTAGACCTGGTTTAGAAGTGAGTTTGTAAGTGAGATCAGGTTTAATCCTGGTTAAGTCTTGAATTAGTCCCGATTCAGTTTAGACGTACTTTGATAGATTCATTTCTGGTTTAGACCTGTTTCAGTCCTGAGATAGACCTGGTTTAGTCCTGGTTTAGTCCTAGTTCAGTCTTGCTTTTACAGTAGTTAGATCTTTCTTTTGAGTATTTTCTGGTCTGGTTTTGTGTCTCACCTGAGTTCCTGTAACACTCAAACTCATTAACATTTCTCAGTCAAATTTCTGATTGAATATGGCTTTAACTCATTAGACTTTCTGTCTCCTCCGGGCTCCTGTAGCTCCGGTTCCTCGGGGCCTGAGCCATGACTTAATCCTCTCGTGATTAATGACCCCGTTTGAGCCCTGACACATCTGCGGCTGACGGAGAAACTAACGGAGAAACTAACGAGGAGCTGGAGATGAGCAGGATCCACATCTGCTCATTTCAAATCCAGGAGTTGTGAGTTTAAATGAGCGGATTGTTATTTTGTTAAAGTAAACGAAGGACTGCAAGTATGAAGGTCAGAAAAAGTCAGAACTACAAGTATGAAGGTCAGAAAGAGTCAGAACTACAAGTATGAAGGTCAGAAAGAGTCAGAACTACAAGTATGGAGGTCAGAAAGAGTCAGAACTACAAGTATGGAGGTCAGAAAGAGTCAGAACTACAAGTATGGAGGTCAGAAAGAGTCAGAACTACAAGTATGGAGGTTAGAAAGAGTCAGAACTACAAGTATAAAGGTCAGGGAGGGTCAGAACTACAAGTATGGAGGCCAGAAAGAGTCAGAACTACAAATATGATGGTCAGGGAGGGTGAGAACTACAAATATGGAGGTCAGGGAGAGTCAGAACTACAAGTATGAAGGTTAGAAAGAGTCAGAACTACAAGTATGAAGGTTAGAAAGAGTCAGAACTACAAGTATAGAGGTCAGGGAGGGTCAGAACTATAAGTATGGAGGTCAGAAAGAGTCAGAACTACAAGTATGATGGTCAGGGAGGGTCAGAACTACAAGTATGGTGGTCTGGGAGTGTCAGAACTACAAATATGGAGGGCTGGGAGGGTCAGAACTACAAGTATTGAGGTCAGAAAGAGTCAGAACTACAAGTATGAAGGTCAGAAAGAGTCAGAACTACAAGTATGGAGGTCAGAAAGAGTCAGAACTACAAGTATGAAGGTCAGAAAGAGTTAGAACTACAAGTGTGAAGGTCAGAAAGAGTCAAAAGTACAAGTATGAAGGTCAAAAAGAGTCAGAACTACAAGTATGGAGGTCAGGGAGAGTCAGAACTACAAGTATGAAGGTCAGAAAGAGTCAGAACTACAAGTATGAAGGTTAGATAGAGTCAGAACTACAAGTATGGAGGTCAAAAAGAGTCAGAACTACAAATATGGAGGTCTGAAATGGTCAAAACTACAAGTATGAAGGTCAAAAAGAGTCAGAACTACAAGTATGAAGGTCAGAAAGTGTCAGAACTACAAGTATGAAGGTCAAAAAGAGTCAGAACTACAAGTATGAAGGACAGGGAGTGTTAAAACTACAAGTATGGAGGTCAGGGAAAGTCAGAACTACAAGTATGAAGGACGGTGGAGCAGGATCCACATCTGCTCCACTGAAATCCAGGAGTTGTGAGTTTAAATGAGCGGACTGTTATTTTGTTAAAGTAAACAATAAACAGTTGATTGAAGTGTTGTGGTTGGATGAGCTGCTGCTGTGAAGTCATGTCACTCTACTGCCCTCTGCTGGTAAAAATAAAGACTACAATATTGAAAAAATCTACCTAATTAAAATTGTGTTAAAAAATCTAAAAAAAAATCTGAGACTGAACCATGACACACACACACACACACACACATGTGACAATAGTTGTAGTTTTGAGTTTTCATAACAGTAGTTGTGTAGATAACTTTTATTTTGACCATTTCTGATCACCACGTTTTACCTCCTTACTTGTAGTTTATCTCCTCTAAAGCTATTGTACTTAGATTTTTTACCTTCACTGACCTCCATATTTGTAGTTCTGACTCTCCCTGACCTCCATACTTGTAGTTTTAACACTCTTTGACCTCCATACTTGTAGTTCTTCCTCTCTGCTAACCTGACTGTATTGTTGGCTGCATCTGTGTCTCTGGCCTTTACAGTCCTGACCTCCATACTTGTAGTTCTGACCCTCCCTGACCTTCATACTTGTAGTTCTGACCCTTTCTGACCTCCACACTTGTAGTTCTGACTCTTTGTGATCGCCATATTTGTAGTTCTGACCCTCCTTGACCTCCATAATTGTAGTTCTGACCTTCCTATCCTCCATACTTGTAGTTCTGACTCTCTCTGACCTACACACTTGTAATTCTAACACTCTCTAACCTCCATACTTGTAGTTCTGACCCTCTCTGACTGCCATACTTGTAGTTTTAACTCTTTCTGACCTCCACACTTGTAGTTCTGGCTCTTTCTGACCTCCATACTTGTAGTTTTAACACTGTCTGACCTCCATACTTGTAGTTTTAACACTGTCTGACCTCCATACTTGTAGTTTTAACACTCTCTGACCTCCATACTTGTAGTTTCCCGCCCCTCTGCTCACCTGACCGTGTTGTTGGCAGCGTCGGGGTCTCGGGCCTGTATGCTCTGGATCACAGTCCCGATCTCCGCGTCCTCGGGCAGCTCCAGGACGTACGAGCTGAGCTGGAACACCGGCGGCTCGTCCACGTCCTCCACGCTCACGTGAACGATGGTGACGTCCGTAAAAAGAGCGCCGCTGTGCCCGGGGCCCCGCTCTGTGTTGGCCCCCTGCACCTTCAGAGTGTAACTGCGCTTCGACTCGAAGTCCAGCGGCTGAAAGAACGAAACGAAAACACAACAAAACACGTTCACTTTAGACTCAGTTCGTTCTTAAAGATGCACTGTGTAACTTTTCTGGTCTCCATCTTGTATTTACTCAAAAACACAGGTTGTTATTGACCTAAAAACTCGTATTCGTACCATCGCCGCAGATCTGACACGTAACTCGGTCCTGTAGCGTCACCTACCGTCTCCGTAGAGATAAATAAGTGTAATGCCGTATTGTGGAACATTCAATGCAACATCTCCACAAAATTTGGTTGGTTCGTGCACATTTTTACGTCTTAAACAAAGTGACTGATGAGATTTAAACCAAGTTACAAGAAAAATGTTGTTTCCTCATCAAATTCAGTTCAAAGTGGCCACGTTTACATGATGTTTTTTAATTCTGAATTAATTATTCTGAATGAAATACTTCGGAATTCAAATATTTTCTTTCGAGTTTACATGGAAATAATAATTCTGAATTGAGGTTTACATGGAAAACTCGTTAAATCTCCTTTATTTAACGAAGAACTCCTGCTGTATCACCTGACTTCCCTCGTGTGCCGTTTAAGGTAAAATTACCGTATTTTTCGGACTACAAGTGGCACTTTTTTTCATGGTTTGGGTGTTTCTGATGTGACTTCTAAACTAAACTAAACTAAGACTAAACCAGGACTAACTAAGGACTAAACCAAGTCTAAACCAGGACCAAGCCAGGACTAAACCAGGACTAACCCAGGACTAAGACAGGCCTAAACCAGGTCTAAATCAGGTCTAAACCAGGACTAAACCAGGACTAAAACACGTCTAAAACAGATGTAAACCAGGATTAAACCAGGTCTAAACCAGGTCTAAACCAGGACTAAGCCAAGACTAAACCAGGACTAAAACTGGACTAAACCAAGTCTAAACTGGGACTAAACCAGGATTAAACCAGGATTAAACAAGGTCTAAACCAGGTCTAAACAGGGTCTAAACCAGGTCTAAACTGGGACTGAAGCAGGTCTAAACCAGGACTAAGCCAGGACTAAATGAGGTCTAAACCAGAGGAGAGAGAAACTTGTGACACCGGGAGGATGCACCATGAAACTTTCCTGAAGTCACTGGATGGACGGACAAAGTCTGGACTTCAGCGACACCGAAACCATCCTGTCGGGATTCAGAAAGACCCGAATATATGTTTCTTTCTTCTTCATTTTGCATTTTTTGGCTGTGACTTATACTCCAGAAAATACGGTACATAAGTTCCCGGTTTTCGTGCGTACCCTCTTGACCGTGATGATCCCGAACGCCTTGCTGGGGTCGGTGCTGATGTCGAACGTGTCTCTTCCGTCTCCGTCCACGATGGAGTAGCTCATGTGGGCGTTCACCCCCACGTCCCGGTCCCTCGCCCAGATCCTGCCCACCGCGGTGCCCAGAGGAGCCGACTCGGGCGCAGACATCTGGTACAGCCCTGGACACACGGGGAAAGGCCAACGTCAGGGGTCAGAGTTCAAAGAAAAAAGACGTGTTATGTCAAAATCGAGCTTTGAAACCATTTTCTTCTCATTGACCTTCTGAAGTTTTGGTTTATTTTACTAAATTATTTTGTTACAGCTGCAGTTTTGTTGTTTGTTTAGAGGAAGAAAACTCATTTATGATTTGACGTTTGACATTTTCACTGTTTTGACGATTAAAATGTTTGTGTTTCATTTGAACTTTGCACAAGAAGAAGTGATTTAACAAAGACTTTTAGTATCACGGACATAATTTAGACTTTATTTTTATTGAACTGTATCGAATCGATTTGAAATATATCGTATTAAATCGTATCGAATCGAAAGTGCACCGTATCGAGGTTTGTATCGTATCGGCAACTTCTTAATGATAGACTTCGTTCTACAATTTCATTTTTATTGTATTTATTTATTTATCTATTTTTAAATTGGTGACACATGTAGGATTCATTTTGGCACAAATTTTAAAAACCTGCAGCTCACTACATCTATCCAAATTTTTATGTTTTTTTTTTTTGATAATTTTAATAATATTCAAAATATTAAAAAAAAAATAATAAATTTAAACATTATTATTAGAATTTTTTGTAAATCTATCATTAGAGAATTTTGTCCCAAATTTGGTCTGTGATCAGTAAACTATTTTATAACTTATTTTTCTATTTTATTTTGACTTGTATATTTACAGTTACATAATTATGTTTTATTTGACGTGTGTCTCTTGCTCTTTTTGCTAATTTATTTAGAATTTATTTTTGAAATTCATTTATTTTTCCTCTCTAATTTTATTTTTTTATTTTGTTTTATTTATGTATTTATTATTTTTATTTTGAATTGGTGACACATCCTGTAGATATTTTTGTACAAATAAAAAAAGAACCTGCAGCTCACTACATCTTTCCAAATTTAATGTCATATTTTTTATCATTTAAGACAATTTTAAACATTAATATTTGAATTTTTTTTGTAAATCTATCAGTAGAGAATTTTGTCCTAAATTTTGTATAATATTATAACTTATTTTTCTATTTTATTTTGACTTGTACATTTACATTTACATAATCATGTTTTATTTCACACCTGTCTCTTGCTCTTTTTGACACTTATTTGGAATTTATTATTAACATTTGTATTTTCACTCTTTTTTATTATATTATTTTGTGATGTGTGACTCCTGTGTCCAAATAATTTCCTTTGTGGATTAATAAAATTCTAAATCTAAGTCTGCACTTCCTCCTCCAATTTTATTATTTATTTATTTTATTTATTTATTTATTTATTTTTATTTTAAATTAGTGACACATGTAGGATTCGGCAGCATCCTGTAGTTATTTTGGTACAAATGAAAAACAAAAACAAACAAACAAAAAACAAAAAACCTGCAGCTCACGACATCTATCCACATGTTTTATGTTTTTTTTTTTTTTTTTTAAGATAATTTAAGATAATTTTAAACAGTAATATTTGAATATTTTGGAAATCCATTATTGGAGAATTTTGTTCTGAATTTGTTCTGTGATCGGTAAAATTAAAAACATTTTCTCTCCTGGTTTAGTCTCTGTGCTTTTTGTGTTATTGTGTCGTTACATCATGTGTCCACTAGAGGGCGGTGTGTCTTTATCTTTTCTCCTACATCCTTCTCTCTTTCTCAAACTCCCCCTCTCCTCTCCTCTCTTCTCCTCTTTTCTATCTTCTCTCCTTCTCTTCTCCCCCCTCTCCTCTCTCTCCCTCCTCCTCTCTTCTCTCCCTTCACTCGTTTCTCATCTAACTCTCTTCCCGCTCTCCCTCCTTCTCTTTCACTCCATTTTTTCCTCTCACTTCTTCTCTCATCCTCTCCTTTAACCACTCGTCCTTTCCTCCCCTGTCCTCTCCCTTTCTCCTCTCTCTCTCCTCAATCTTTTCCGCTCCATCGCTTTCTTCTCTCTCTCTCTCTCTCTGTGCCTTCTCTCCCTCCTCTCCTCCGTTCTTCTCTCCCTCCCTTCCTCTTTCCTCCCTCTCTCTCTTCTGTTCTTCCGTCTCTCCCTCCCTTCTTCAGTCCCTCTCTCCTCTGTTCTTCTGTCCCTCCCTTTCTCCTTCCCTCCATCTCTTCCTCCCTCTCCTCTCTCCTCTCCTCCTTCCCTCTCCCCTCTCCTCCTTCCCTCTGTCCTCTCCTCCTTCCCTCTCTCCTCTCCTCCTTCCCTCTCTCCTCTCCTCCTTCCTCTCTCCTCCTCTCTCCTCTCCTTCCTCTCTCTCCTCTCCTCCTCTCTCTCCTCTCCTCTCCTCTCCTTCCTCTCTCTCTCTCTCCTCTCCTCCTTCCTCCTCTCCTCTCCTCTCCTCTCCTTCCTCCTCTGTCCTCTCTCTCTCCTCTCTCTCTCTCTCTCTCTCTCTCTCTCCTTCCCTCTGTCCTCTCCTCCTCCTCTCTTCTCTCTCTCCTCTTCTCCTCTCCTCTCCTCTCTTCCTCTCTCTCCTCTCCTCCTCTCCTCTCTTCCTCTCCTCCTTCCCTCCTTCTCTCTTCTCTCCTCTCCTCCTTCCCTCTCTCCTCCTCCTCTCCTCCTTCCCTCTCTCCTCTCCTCCTTCCCTCTCTCCTCTCCTCCTTCCCTCTCTCCTCTCTCCTCTCTCTCTTCCTCTCTCTCCTCTCCTCCTCTCCTCTCTCTCTCCTCTCTCCTCTCTCTCCTCTCTCCTCTCTCTTCCTCTCTTCCTCTCTCCTCTCTCCTCTCTCTCTCTCCTCCCTCTCTCCTCTCTCTCTCCTCCTCCCTCTCTCCTCTCCTCCTTCCCTCTCTCCTCTCTCCTCTCTCCTCTCCTCTCCCTCTCTCCTCTCTCCTCTCTCCCTCTCTCTCCCTCTCCTCTCCTCTCCTCTCTCCTCTCTCCCTCTCTCCTCTCTCCTCCTCCTCTCTCTCCTCCTCTCCTCTCTCTCCTCTTCCTCTCTTCCTCTCCTCTCCTCCTCCTCTCCTCTCTCCTCTCTCCTCTCCCTCCTCTCCCTCTCTCCTCTCTCTCTCCTCCTTCCCTCTCTCCTCTCTCCTCTCCTCCTCTCCTCCCTCTCTCTCTCTCCCTCCTTCTCCTCTCTCTCTCTCTCTCTCTCCCTCTCTCTCTCTCTCTCTCTCTCCCTCTCCTCTCTCCTCTCTCTTCCTCTCTTCTCCTCCTCTCTCTCCTCTCCTCCTTCCCTCTCTCCTCTCCTCCTTCCCTCTGTCCTCTCCTCCTCTCCTCTCTCTCCTCTCTCCTCTCCTCCTTCCCTCTCTCCTCTCTTCCTCCTCTTCTCTCTCTTCCCTCTGCTTTCTTCTCTTCTTTCTTCTCCTCCACTCTTCTATCCATCACACCATCACGCACCACTCGTGTCTTTAACTGCGATGGACAGAGCAGAGAGACGGAGGAGAGAAAGAGAAAGAGAAAGAGAAAGAGGAGAAGAACTGAACTGAACTAAACGTCAGACGCCAAGACTCAAGACGTTCAGGAGCAGGAGTCTTGATTTTCACCAGAAAAAAATGAAAAATAAAAATCACAAATTTTTTTTTTTTTTTCCTCATCATCATCATTTCAATCAGCGACAAAGTCCAATCTCCAACCGAACTGAGAGGAACTAAACCAGGACTAAACCAGAACTAAACCAGGACTGAACCAGGACTAAACCAGGACTAAACCAGGACCAGGACTAAACCAGGACTGAAACCAGGACTAAACCAGACTAAACCAGGACCAAACCAGGACTAACCAGGACTAAACCAGGACTAAAACCAGGAAAACCAGGACTAAACCAGGACTGAAACCAGGACTAAACCAGGACTAAACCAGGACTGAACCAGGACTGAACCAGGACTGGAAACCAGGACTGAACCAGGACTAAACCAGGAACTAAACCAGGAACTAAACCAGGACTGAACCAGGACTAAACCAGGACTAAACCAGGAACTAAACCAGGACTAAACCAGGACTAAACCAGGACTAACCAGGACTGACCAGGACTGAACCAGGACTAAACCAGGACTAAACCAGGACTAAAGGACCAGACTGAACCAGGACTGAACCAGGACTAAACCAGGACTAAGAACCAGGACTAAACCAGAACTAAACCAAGAACTAAACCAGGACTGAAACCAGGACTAAACCAGAACTAAACCAGAAAACTAAACAACCAGGACTAAACCAGGACTAAACCAGGACTAAACCAGGACTGAACCAGGACTAAACCAGGACTAAACCACCAGACTAAACCAAAAACCAGGACTAAACCAGGACTAAACCAGAACTAAACCAGGGAAAACTAAACCAGGACTAAACCAGGACTAAACCAGGACTAAACCAGACTAAACCAAACCAGGACTAAACCAGGACCAAAACCAGGACTAAACCAGGACTAAACTAAACCAGGAAACTAAACCAGGACTAAACCAGGACTAAAACAGAACTAAACCAAGACCAAACCAGAACTAAACCAGGACTAAAACCAAACCAGGACTAAACCAGGACTAAACCAGAACTAAACCAGGACTAAACCAGAACTAAACCAGGACTAAACCAGGACTAAACCAGGACTAAACCAGGACTAAACCAGAACTAAACCAGACTAAACCAGGACTAAACCAGGACTAAACCAGGACTAAACCAGGACTCAACTGGGACAAAATAAGAACTAAAACAAAACTAAACCAGGTCTAAAACTAGAAGTACAAAAGGGCTAAAACAGAACTAAACAATGACTAACCCAGGACTAAACCAGGACTAAACCAGGTCTAAACCAGGTCTAAACCAGGTCTAAACCAGGTCTAAACCCAGGACTAGACTCACTCTGGTCAAACACGGGGGGGTTGTCGTTGATGTCGCTGAGGCTGACGTCCACGGTCGTCGTCCCCGCGAGTCCCCCCAGCTGCCCCCCCATGTCCTTGGCCTGGATCACCACAGTGTAGTTTTCTCTGGTCTCACGGTCCATGTCGGCCAGAGACACGCGCACCACACCTGAGGAAAAAAATAAATAAAATCACCAAAATAAAATAAAAAACAACACCACACCTGAGGAAAAAAAAAAATAAAAAAATCACCAAAATAAAATAAAAAAAAAACACACACACCTGAGGAAAAAATAATAAAATAAAATCACCAAAATAAAATAAAAAACAACACCACACCTGAGGAAAAAAAATAAAATAAAATCACCAAAATAAAATAAAAAACACACCACACCTGAGGAAAAAATAAAAAAAAATCACCAAAATAAAATAAAAAACAACACCACACCTGAGGAAAAAAAAAAAAAAAAATCACCAAAATAAAATAAAAAACAACACCACACCTGAGGAAAAAATAAAAAAAAAAATCACCAAAATAAAATAAAAAACAACACCACACCTGAGGAAAAAAAAAATAAAAAATCACCAAAATAAAATAAAAACACACCACACACTGAGGAAAAAAAAAAAAAAATCACCAAAAATAAAATCAAAATAAAACACAAAAACACACCACACTGAGGAAAAAATAAAAATAAAAAAATCACCAAAATAAAAAAAAAAAAAAAAACACCACACCTGAGGAAAAAAAAAAAAAAAAATCACCAAAATAAAATAAAAATAAAACACAAAAACACACCACACCTGAGGAAAAAAAATAAAAAATCACCAAAATAAAATAAAAAACAACACCACACCTGAGGAAAAAAAAAAAAAAAATCACCAAAATAAAATAAAAAAAACAACACCACACCTGAGGAAAAAAAAAACAAAACACAAAATAAAATCAAAATAAAACACAAAAACACACCACACCTGAGGAAAAAAAAAATAAAAAATCACCAAAATAAAATAAAAAACAACACCACACCTGAGGAAAAAAAAAAAAAAAAAATCACCAAAAATAAAATAAAAAACAACACCACACCTGAGGAAAAAAAAATAAAAAAAATCACCAAAATAAATCAAAATAAAACACAAAAAACACACCACACCTGAGGAAAAAAAAAATAAAAAAAAATAAAATCAAAATAAAAGACAAAAACACACCACACCTGAGGAAAAAAACAAACAAAACACAAAATAAAATCTAAATAAAACACAAAAACACACCACACCTGAGGAAAAAACAAAATAAAATCAAAATAAAACACAAAACCAGAGAAACAAACAAACAAACAAAAAAAAAAACAAACAGCAAAAACAGAGAAACTAAAATAAAAAAACAAAAAACAAAACAAAAAACAGCAAAGACAGAGAGAAACCAAAATACAAAAAAAATAAATAAATAAATAAAAAATAAATAAATAAATAAAACAAACAGCAAAGACAAAGAAAAAACAAAATAGAAATAAAATAAAAAATACAAACAAACAAAGAAAAAAAAAAACGGCGAAGACAGCGAGAAACCATAATAATAAAAAAATTAAAATAAAATCAACAAAAAAACAGCAAAAACTGAGAGAAACCAAAATCAAACAAAAATACACTGCAAAAACAAAAAGGAAGCAAAATATAATCTAAAAGCAGCGTGAAAACAGAGCGTAAGTGGATTTCCGGTCAGTAGGATCAGGTCAGGAGAACGCAGTGTGCTAGTAACCACGGTAACCAGCACAAACAACACATAATAAGTCTTTATCTGAGTCTGAGGCGTCCATTGTCCTCAACAAGACACAAACACAGATATTTAAACAATGAGGAGTTTGTTTTTACGTTGTTTACAGAATATTTTGTGATAATGGAGTTTCTCAAAAACTCCACGTAGAAACGGTGAAACTGTGTCTTTTTAGGGTCATTTTTGAACGTCCGATCTCGGTCGACTGAAGGTGCAGACTGTGACGCTGGATCACGTCTTTTCTCCAACGTCTTCTGGTCGTCCAGTACTGACGGTGCCGGTCCTGCTTCACCAACGGAACCACTCACACACTCAGACACCAGCGGCACAGACACGAGCTTATGTGTCTTGCCCGTTCATCTGTGGGAGCTGGAATCGCACCACCAACCTGTGAGTCAGTGGATCTGACGCTCAACCAACGATGTTTTATGTCGACCTTTGAATCAGTGAAGAAACGCTCTTCCAACTGAGCTACACTGCCTCCCACCACTGCAATTATCCACAAACTTCATTTCCAAATAAACAAACATTAAACCTAAATGAGTTAATTAAACAAAATATCATGAGCTCAAATATATCATTAATAATAAATGTTAAATCTCAAATAATCAAAATGTATATTCATGAATAATATTGATAACAACAATGTTGATATTTGTCATAAAAAAAAAAAGGTAGAAAAAACATGAACAACGACCTCATCTGGACAGAATCAGCCTCATCTGATGATCCTGAGAACATCACGACATCGTCCTGCGTCTGAACCTTCACTAGAACGAGACTGAACGGACAAAAATGACCCTAAAAAGACGTTTCTTTGTGCAGTGGGTTTATTCATTAATAATTTAATTTTCCTGCCAGTGAGACGTCCCCACGACGTCCAAAACTCTCCTAATGCAGATTGACGTCCAAATAATGGACGTCATTTTTACGTCATTTAGTCCAGAACTGGTCTTGGACCAACGAACGCGACATAGACACGATCTACATGAACATACGACGTCTGATGTTCAGTGGGATGATGTCATCAGGTGTTTTTGTGCATTTAAATCCATTTAAATAAAAACTTTCTACTGGTTCAGTGAGACGAGTCGCTACAACATGGATTTTGTAATTTAGGAAAAGTTTGAGTCTTGAGGCCAGGTTCCCTCAGTGTGTCTGTAAAGAACATAGCGCCCTCTGCTGGTACAGTGGTGTTAGAGCAGCGCCCTCTGCTGGTACAGTGGTGTTAGAGCAGCGCCTCTGCTGGTACATGTGGTGTTAGAGCAGCGCCCTCTGCTGGTACAGTGGTGTTAGTGTTAGAGCAGCGCCCTCTGCTGGTACAGTGGTGTTAGTGTTAGAGCAGCGCCCTCTGCTGGTACAGTGTGTAGAGTGAGCAGCGCCCTCTGGTACAGTGGTGTTAGAGTAGCGCCCTCTAGTGGTGTTAGTGTTAGAGCAGCGCCCTCTGCTGGTACAGTGGTGTTAGTGTTAGAGCAGCGCCCTCTGCTGGTACAGTGGTGTTAGAGTTAGAGCAGCGCCTCTGGTAGTGGTGTTAGAGTAGCGCCTCTGCTGGTACAGTGGTGTTAGAGTAGCGCCCTCTGCTGGTACAGTGGTGTTAGTGTAGCGCCCTGGTGGTGTTAGTGTTAGCAGCGCCTCTGCTGTGTAGAGTTAGAGCAGCGCCCTCTGCTGGTACAGTGGTGTTAGTGTTAGAGCAGCGCCCTCTGCTGGTACAGTGGTGTTAGAGTTAGAGCAGCGCCCTCTGCTGGTACAGTGGTGTTAGAGCAGCGCCCTCTGCTGGTACAGTGGTGTTAGAGCAGCGCCCTCTGCTGGTACAGTGGTGTTAGTGTTAGAGCAGCGCCCTCTGCTGGTACAGTGGTGTTAGTGTTAGAGTAGCCCCTCTGCTGGTACAGTGGTGTTAGAGTTAGAGCAGCGCCCTCTGCTGATACAGTGGTGTTAGAGCAGCGCCCTCTGCTGGTACAGTGGTGTTAGTGTTAGAGCAGCGCCCTCTGCTGGTACAGTGGTGTTAGAGTTAGAGCAGTGCCTCTGCTGGTACAGTGGTGTTAGAGTAGCGCCCTCTGCTGGTACAGAGGTGTTAGAGTTAGAGCAGCGCCTCTGCTGGTACAGTGGTGTTAGAGCAGCGCCCTCTGCTGGTACAGTGGTGTAGTGTTAGAGCAGCGCCCTCTGCTGGTACAGTGGTGTTAGAGTTAGAGCAGTGCCCTCTGCTGGTACAGTGGTGTTAGTGTTAGAGCAGCGCCCTCTGCTGGTACAGTGGTGTTAGTGTTAGAGCAGCGCCCTCTGCTGGTACAGTGGTGTTAGAGTAGCGCCCTCTGCTGGTACAGTGGTGTTAGAGTTAGAGCAGCGCCCTCTGCTGGTACAGTGGTGTTAGTGTTAGAGCAGCGCCCTCTGCTGGTACAGTGGTGTTAGAGCAGCCTTGCTGGTACAGTGGTGTTAGTGTTAGAGCAGCGCCCTCTGCTGGTACAGTGGTGTTAGTGTTAGTGTAGCGCCCTCTGCTGTACAGTGGTGTTACGCCTACAGTGTGTTAGTGTAGCGCCCTCTGCTGGTACAGTGGTGTTAGTGTTAGAGTAGCGCCCTCTGCTGTACAGTGGTGTTAGAGTTAGAGCAGCGCCCTCTGCTGGTACAGTGGTGTATTTCCTCACCGGTCTTGGCGTCCACAGAGAAGTACGGTTGTCCCTCTAACACGCTGTAGACGACCCGAGCGCTGTTCCCGTACGTGGGGTCGTCTGCGTCTGTGGCCGTCACCTGGATCACGGACGTACCTGAAGAACAACGAGTAACAACAACATTACACTAATATTATTATTATTATTATTATTATTATTATTATATACAGACTTTATATTAAAGACCTGGGGTGGGTAATTAAAATTATTTTTTCCATTTAACCACATAAGAAACAGAAAATATTGTGCAAAATGCTCCACTCAATTCTGCAGAATATGAATTATATTTCTTTATAAAAAGCAGAAAATCTCATTATTCTGACGAGCTGCTCAGACTGGAGAGTTTATTTTACAACTAAGCAATGAAAAAGTGACGCTGCCTTAAGATGTTATTTAAAAAAAACACCACTAAAATAAAAGCAATGCAGCTTTAGTCCAGACATGAGGTAAAAATATAAAATATGTTTATTTTGAAATTCCAGATTAATTTAAACAGGAAGATCAGAGTCGACCAAACGACTGTATGTGGCCCTGGAGCTGCACAACTCCCAGAACTGATTAAAACACTTTTCACCATTTCATCCATTATTCATTCACTCCACACTCACTGGTGAACGATTATTACAGCCACAGCCGCCCTGGGGCAGACTGAACCACCTCCAGCACCGTGTAAAGTGTCACATTTAACTATAGCACTTTTCCACCTTCAAGACACTCAAAGCTCTTTACAACAAGGAACCACACACACATTCACACATTCACATTCACACACACATTCACACACCAGTGCACACAGACACTGTGGGCAAGGTGGGTTAAGTGTCTTGCCCAAGGACACAACGACAGTGTGTCATCTGTGGGAGCTGGAATCACACCAGCCAAACCTGTGGGTCAATGGATCTGACGCTCAACCTGTGATGTTTATATCAAGAGCTGGAATCGAACCACCAACCTTCAGATCAGTGGGCGAATGCTCTACTACTACTACTACTGCCCCACGGCAGTACACGTATACACCCCAAGTGTCTTGCCTAAGGACACAACGGCAGACCTGAACCTGCTGAGCTTCTGGGATCTGACCTCGTGTTTTTGGAGCACTGACGTCTGTCCAGTTTTTAGTTTTAACTTTGGCACATTCTTCAAAAATAAAATGAAAACAAAAGTCAATAAAAGTTTTGTTAAACTTTATAAAAAAAGGTTGAATCCTGGACGTCTCGGACACAGCGCAAAATTAAAAAAGGTTCAAGAAGTTTAAAAAAATGTAAAATGGTAAAACAGTTTCAAACTTCAGAATAAGACAAACTGAAACTCATTTAATTGTGCGCAGAAGTAAAAGTGTTTCCGTCTCACCGATGGTGGACATCTCGGGGACGCTGGCGCTGTACGGCCCGTCCACGAAGCGCGGCTCGTTGTCGTTGATGTCCTGAATCTTGACGATGAACTCGGACTCGGGCTCCACGGGCTGCTGCGTCACACGGCTGCGGGCCTGGGCGCGCAGCAGGTACTGGGACTTGAACTCGCGGTCGAGGCGCTGGATGGCGTGGATGTCGCCCGTGCTGTCGTCGATGGTGAAGGTGGTGCCGGCGCCTTCTCCGGTCAGGATGTAAAGGATGGAGCCGTCGCCTTTGTCCATGTCCGAGTGAAGCTGCAGAGAAAAACAGAGAGAGTTAAAGGTGTTTACAGGATCATTTTTAATTCCAAATAATAAATCCAAACTGAAGTTTACACGGAAAACTCCTTAAATCGTCTTTGTTTAATTCCGAAGGTTCTGATTGGACAGAGACACCAACATATTTACATCGTTTTTCAAAATAAAACCAAAAATAAGAAAATGAAAAGAAAACAACAATTTTCTTCATTATTTGTCTCCAAAACCAAAATGAAAAAACAGATAATGATTTGTTTTTTTCAGTTTTGGATTTTGTGTTTAAATGAAAAATGGAAAAAATGGATAAAGGACTGAACCAGGACTAAACCAGGACTAAACCAGGACTAAACCAGGACTGAACCAGGACTAAACCAGGACTAAACCGTTTTCACTCCTGGTCTGGTCCTGGCTTCAGTTCCAGTCTCAGTTCTGGTCTTAATCCTGCTCTCAGTCCTGGTCCTGTTCCTGGTCTTAGTCCTGGTCTCAGTCCCAGTCCTGGTCTCAGTCCCGGTCCTGTTCCCGGTCTCAGTTCTGGTCCCGTTCCTGGTCTTAGTCCTGGTCTCAATCCTGGTCTGGTTCCGGTCTGGCCCCTGGACTTGTTTTAGTCCTGGTTCAGTCCTTTATCTTTTTTTTTCCATTTTTCATTTAAACACAAAATCCAAAACTGAAAAAACAAATCATTATCTGTTTTTTCATTTTGGTTTTGGAGACAAATAATGAAGAAAACTGTTGTTTTCTTTTCATTTTCTTATTTTTGGTTTTATTTTGAAAAACAAATGCACACGGAGAATTGTCTCACCACGCTCATCACACAAGCTCTGACAAAATAAAATAAATAAATAAATAAAAATAAAATACATATATAAATAAAAACAAAAAAATAATAAATACAAAAAAATACATCAAAATAAATAAATAAATAAATAAAAGCGTAAAATAATAAATAAATAAAAATGTGGCAAATGAACAGACAGAGACAGAGCTCTCTCTCTCTTTCTCTCTCTCTCCTCCCCCTCTCTTCCCTCTATTTTCTCTGTGATCGCCCATCAGCAGGTCTCACTCCTCCTCCTCTCTCTCTCTCTCTCTCTCTCCTGTCCTCTCCTCTCTCTCTCTTTCTCTCCTCTCCTCTTGTTTTTTTTTTCCTCTGTGATTGTCCATCAGAGCTGGTCTATTTGCACTTGTGGAGTTGGTTTTTGATCATCGCTCTCCTCCCTCCACCTCTCCGTCTTTCTCTCTCTCACTCTATTTTCTCTCTCTCACTTGTCGACTCTCTTCTCTCTCTCCTCCCTCCCTCCTTCTTCTCTCCTTCTCTTTTTCATCAGAGCAGGTTTATTTGCACTTGTTGTCTGGGTACTTACTCTTCTTTCCCTCTCTCCCTCCTCTTCTCCCTCCCCTCTCTCTCTCTCTCCCTCCTCCTCTCTCCCTCCCTCACTCTCTCTCTCTTTCTCTCTCCCCCTCCTCTCCTCTTGCTCCTTCCTCCCTTCTCTCTCCCTTCTCCTTTCTCTCCTCTCTTTTTCATCAGAGCAGGTTTATTTGCACTTGGAGTCCAGGCGCTTACTCCTCTCCCTCTTTCTCCCTCTCTCTCTTTTTCTCCCTCTCCTCCTCTCTCCTCCTTTCTCCTCCTCCCTCTCTCTTTCTCTTCCTCCTCCCTCCTCCCTCTCTCCTTCCTCTCCTCTCTTTCTCATCAGAGCAGGTCTATTTGCACTTGTCCAGGCACTTACTCCTCTCCCTCTTTCTCTCTCTCTCTCTTTTTCTCCCTCTCCTCCTCTCTCTCTCTCTCTCTCCTCTCCTCTCTCCCACCTCTCTCTCTCCCTCCTCCTCCCCCTCCCCTTTCTTTCTCTCTCTCAATCCTCTCTTTCTCATCAGAGCAGGTCTATTTGCACTTGTCCAGGTGCTTACTGCTCTCTCTCCCTCTCTCCTCCTCTTGCTCTTCCTCCCCCTCCTCTTTTCTCTCCCTCCTGCCTTTTTCCTCTCTCTCCCTCCTCTCTCGCCCTCTTTCCTCCCACTCCTCTCCCCTCTCTCTCCTCCCTCCCTCCCTCCTCTTTTCTCTCCCTCTTTTCAGGTCTATTTGCACTCGTTGTCCGGGCGCTTACTCCTCTCTCCCCCTCTCCTCTCTTTCTCTCTCTCTCCTCCTCCCTCTCTCTGTTCCTCTCCCCTCTCTCTCCCTCCTCTCCTCTCTCCTCCTCCCTCTCTCCTTCGTCTCTTCTCTCCCCTCCCTTCCGTCCTCCCTCCCCTCCCTCCTCCCTCTCTCTCTCCTTCTTTCTCATCAGGGCAGGTCTATTTGCACTTGTCATCCGAGTGCTTACTCCTCTCTCTCCCTCTCCTCTCCTTCCCTCTCTCCTCCTCTCCTTCCTCCCTCCTCTTCTCCCTCTCTCTCCTCCTCTCTCTCTCCCCTCCCTCCTCCTTCTTTCCTTCTTTCTCATCAGAGCAGGTTTATTTGCACTTGTCGTCTAGGCGCTTACTCCTCTCCCTCTTTCTCTCTCCTCCTTTCCTTCCTCCCTCCTTTTCCCTCTCTCTCTCTCCCTCCTCCTCTCTCTTTCTCTCTCTCTCTCTCTCTCTCTCCCCTCCCCCCCCCTCTCCTCCTCCCTCCTCCTTCTCTCTCTCTTTTTCATCAGAGCAGGTCTATTTGCACTTGTCGTCCGGCCGCTTACTCCTCTCTCCCTCTTTTTCCCTCTCTCTCCTTTTTCTCCCTCTCCTCCTTTCTCCTCTCTCCTCTCTCTCTCTCTCCCACCTCTCTCTTTTCCCCCCTCCTCACCCCTCCCTCTCTTTCTCATCAGGGCAGGTGTATTTGCACTGGGTGCTTGCTCCTCTCCCTTCCTCTTTCCCCTTTTTCTCTCTCCTCTTCTTCCTTCCCTCCTCCCTCATTCTCCCTCTTCCTCCCTCCTCTCTCTCTCTCTCCTCCTCTCACCCTCCTCCTTCTCTCCCTCTCTCTCCTCTCCTCCTCTCTCCCTCCTCCTTCTTTCTCATCAGAGCAGGTTTATTTGCACTTGTCGTCTGGGTGCTTACGCCTCTTTCCCTCTCTTCCTCCTCTCCTTCCTCCCTCCTTCTGTCTCTCTCTCTCTCTCCTCCTCTTCTTCATCAGAGCAGGTCCTCCTCCTCCTCCTCCTCCTCCTCTCCTTCGTCTTCGTCCTGGCGTTGTTGGCGTGTGATTGTCCGCGCTCTCGTCTCGTCTCTGGTCACACGCTCACACACCGGCTCTCGTCCTCTTAAGAGCTCAGACCTGTTTCCATAGCGATTAACAATTTAAACCAAACATAATCACGAATAAAAAAAAAAAAACTACACGCTCTGCTCCTGGTTTAGTCCGGGTTTAGTCCCGGTTTAGTCCTAGTTTAGTTCTATCCATAGGAGGGACCCACAGCCTGGTTTAGTCCTGGTTTTAGTCTTGGTTTAGTCCTGGTTTAATCCTTGTTTAGTCCTGGTTTTAGTCCTGGTTTAGTCCAGGTTTAGTCCTGGTTTAGTCCTTATTTAGTCCTGGTTTAAGCCAGGACCAGACTGGGACCAAACCAGAACTGAGACCAGCACTGAGATTAGGATCAAATCAGAACTGAGACCAGGACCAGACCAGGACCAAACCGGGACCAAACCAGGACTAAGACCAGGATCAGACCGGGACCAGACCAGGGTCAGACCGTGATTGAGACCGGGACTGAGACCGGGACCAGTCCAGGATGGTTTAGTCCTGGTTCAGTCCTTTATCTGTTTTCTTCAATTTTTCATTTAAACACAAAATCAAAAACTGAAAAAAAAAAACTAAACAAATCATTATCTGTTTTTTAATTTTGCTTTTGGAGACAAATAATGAAGAAATTTTTTATTTTTTTAATTATTATTTTTGGTTTGATTTTGAAAAACGAATGAACGAATGATGCACGGATTTCTTTAAACACTCCGTGGCAACCGCTGAACATTCCGCCGTAGACATACATGTAGAGAGAGAGAGAGAGTGAGAGTACTACGGTATATTTTCAACCAAAACAAAAGAAACAAAAACAAAAAAAAAAATATTTTTTTACTCTTAAATGATTTTAGCTGGTAGTAGTAAGTACCAACTAAATAAAATCATCTCAGTCACAGTTGGGTTCAGTGAAAAACCACCTTCACTTCTGTCTAATTTACAATCACATGCAGAGAACTGGACAGAAATAATAGTTCATGGTGAAGTTAGAAGGCGACGTGCAAACAAATAATACGTAAAGAGAGATTATAGATTAAAACAAATGCATGTGCACAAAGAGCTTCAGTGTCTGGACAATAAACCCTAATTTAAGTAATTTAATTGAATCTTATAAACATACAGTAACACAAAATACACGCTTTATTATAAGTTCTGGTAAAACTATCCCAGCTTCTTTTGTTCTTTCTTTCTTAATAAATATAAAAGATGCTTTTAAGATTTTAACAGGTACATCTGGATAATGCACATGAAGAGCTTCACTGTGGAAAATCTAAGTGAACTAAAGTAATTCTAGTACCACAAGGCCATTAAATGTACAACCTATAAATAACAATAATAGAGGCTTTTTTCATCAATAACATCTCCATGGATAAAAGCATCTGAAGGACCCTCCATCTCGCTCTACGCTGTTCCTGTTCTGTACATTTCTGGCCTGAGATGTTTGTTGTTTTTCCCGGTATCTGCTGTACTTTCTTCCAGTTTGGGGGTTATGGCCGCGAGTGTCCGAGCACCACAGGCCCGACTGAAGCCTTCACCTTCCAGACCTTCTCCAGCTCCTCCTTGAGCCCCTGGGATTTCTCTCGTTTCTCGTGTTCCTTTTTCCTGTTATTACCATCTCTTGGTGTTGTGATGTTCCACCACGGCTTTGTTCTGTTTCTTCTTCACCATCACTATGTCTGTCTGGTCCATCTCCATCCTGTCAGTCTGTATCTGAAGTCCCACAGGATCTTGGCTCAGTCGTTCTCCTCTTCTCTTGTTTCCCACCTTGATCCTGGGGTCTCCAGTCCGAACTCTGCACACATGTTTCTGAACACTCTGCCCACTTGGTTCTGTCGCTCCATGTTTGTTTCCCTGCAGAATCTTAGTCTACGTTCAGACTGCAGGGCTTAACACTCAATTCCATTTTTTGTGTGAAATCTGATGTTTTTTCGAGGTCGTTCACATTTCCAGTTAAATGTGACTTGTATGTGACTCCAGTGTGAACATTAAACGGCCCAAAAGTGTCCCACATGTGACACTGGAGACACGACGACGTCAACCGCAGCGAGCGTCTCTGTGTTTACAGAAGTTGTCCAAACATGGACGCAGCATCGAGCACCTGGAGATTTTAAAGTTCCTCTCGTACCGGAGCCACAACATGAACAACTTACTTGTTTTAAGGAGGAGATTGAGAAGGAGAAGGACGAGGTTTTTGGTCGTGGTGTTTTGTGGTGAGTGGAGATGTGCTTCACTTCAGTCACACAGAGTTCATTAACAATTTTCTCCTACTTCAGTGCAGAATAGTGACGTTTGTGTCTTGTTGATAACGTGTAGGTGGATGAATGCACTTTGGTCGTTCAGACTGAAGTCACATGTCAAAAGATCAGATATGTATCAGTTTCAGGAGCACAGATCCAAGTGTCTTGGGTCACATTTGAAAAAATCGGATCTGTGTCGTTCAGACTGTCAATAAAAGATCAGATACAGGAACATAGAGGCAAAAAAATCAGATTTGGGTCACTTCAGGTGCAGTGTGAACGCAGCCTAAGTCCTGAGGGTGTTTGTAATCTGGCAAAGTTTGATGCTTGTACCATAAAAGTGAACTATTAACAGCTCCACTAACACCTCCACATATGAATCTTACTTTGCCGATGTAGAGCGGCTCCAGCCCGGTGTACTCCTCCAACACGAAGAACTGGTTCCAGACCCAGCCCCGTTTCACTCGCCGCCGCAGGGACGATGCTCCCGCCGCCGTCTCGTCCTCGCCGCCCTCCGCCCACGGTTTACCCAGAAGGCCGAGGGGCAGCAGGGCCAGCAGCACCAGGAGTCCTGCTCCCATCACGTTTGCTCCAGGTGGGGGGTTCAATCTCTGCAGTGACAGTGAGCAACGCGCCGCAGGATCAGAGAGTCAGCTGGAGTCTGGAAGAAGAAACACAGAAAAGAAGAAATGTGAGTAAAAAAGATTCTGCTCCAGATCACAGACAAAATAAAACAGGTTTAGTCATAAATGTTTACTTCAATTAAACCCAAATAACATGGTACAAGTAAACAAAAATAAATATATAAATAAAAATTCTAAAAATAAAAAATAAAAAAAAAGGAAATGTGGACAATTTTTTTTAAAGAATAATAAAAAATAAATAAATAATTGAAAAAGTGAAAAAATTAAAAGAAAAAAAAGGAAAAAATAAAATGAAAAAGAAATGTTGTATAGACTGAAGTAAAAAAAAGTTTTAAAAAAGTAAAAAAAGAGAAAAACAAAAAAAATGAATTGAAAAAATAAATATTGTATGGACTGAAATAAAAAAAAAAATATATATATATAAAGTATAAAAAACAAAACAAAAAAAAACCAAGGAAACAAGGAAAAAAAAAATAAAAAATGAAAAAAGTGAAAAAAAAGACAAAAATTTTAAAAATGCTGTATAGACTGACATAAATACAGAGATATATTAACTTTAAATACTATAAAAGAAAATAAATAAACAAATAAAAATTATAAAAAATTTAAAAACAAATTGAAAAAAAAATAATAAATGAAATAAATAATTGAAAAAGTGAAGAAATGACAAAAAAAAAAAGGAAAAAAATTGAAAAAATAAATTTTGTTATATAGACTGACATAAATATAGAGATATGTTAACTTTAAATAATGACATCACCTTTTTCCTTCTAATATTTTTAAGTTCATCTAAAGCAAACACATGGGTTTTGAGATAATCTATGTGTCCATTTAAAGTTGCACTATGTAATTTTTCTGATGGAGGGTCTGCCGTTTGCTTGTCTCCATGGTGATGGCATTACGTAACCTAGAATGTTCCACACTATGGCTTGTCTCCATGGAAATATGTTTAAAACCAGACAAAATACAACCTCATCACGGAAAAAATGGGCAAAAAAGCGACATTTTCCGAGTTTCCGAGGTGAGATTTTGGAGCAGAAGTGAGAAGTTTTGGAAGGACACAGTCGCCCCCTCCTGGTCGCTCTCGGTAGGACCTCGTGTTTCCAGTCGCTCTAACGAGGTTTTGTCCGTGAGGATCATTCAAGCGACGCCAACTTCACTGCCGTTTTGAAGAGCAGAACAGGAAATAAGGGGCATTTTCTGGTATAGTTTAGTGCTTCTGAATTACACGTAATGACGGTCATCATGTCGTTTTGGTCCATGCTGCACACTCCATACTGTTCTGACTCACTCCACTTCATGATGCGTTTAAAGCCGCACTATGTCACTTTTCTAGAGGAGAGTCTGTCACCTGGTCTCGTTAAAATGTCCTTGTTTTACCCGAAAAGCTCCACAGTATTGACAAGTTTTCAGAATTTTAATTACAGGTTTGGATTGGCCGCACAAACGTAAATTCTGTGAAGTTTTTTGAGCTAAAATCAATATATTTTTGATGAACTTCGATGATGAACTGATTCATCATCGAAACGAGACAAAAGAAAAAAGCAGCATAGAAGTGACTGTAGCAGGACTAAACCAGGACTAAACCAGGACTAAACCAGGACTAAACCAGGACTAAACCAGGACTAAACCAGGACTAAACCAGGACTAAACCAGGACTAAACGGACTAAACCAAAACCAGGACTAAACCAGGACTAAACTAAAACCAGGACTAAAACAGAAAATAAAACCAGGACTAAACCAGGACTAAACCAGGACTAAACCAGGATGGATAGAACCAAAAACCAGGACTAAACCAGGACTAAAACCAGGACTAAAACTAAACCAGGACTAAAACCAGGACTAAAACCAGGAACTAAAACCAGGATTAAATCAAGACTAAACAAGGATTAAACCAGGACTAAACCAGGACTAAAACCAGGACTAAACCAGGACTAAAACCAGGACTAAACCAGGACTAAACCAGGACTAAACCAGGACCAGGACTAAACCAGGACTAAACCAGGACTAAACCAGGACTAAACCAGGACTAAACCAGGACTAAACCAGGACTAAAACCAGGACTAAACCAGGACTAAACCAGGACTAAACCAGGACTAAAACAGAAATAAAACCAGGACTAAACCAGGACTAAACCAGGTCTAAACCAGGACTAAACCAGGACTATGGATAGAACCAAACCAGGACTAAACCAGGACTAAAACCAGAACTAAACCAGGACAAAACCAGGACTAAAACAGAACTAAAACCAGGATTAAATCAAGACTAAACAAGGATTAAACCAGGACTAAAACAGGACTAAACCAGGACTAAACCAGGACAAAACCAGAACTAAACCAGGTCTAAACAAGGACTAAAACCAGGTCTAAACCAAGACTAAACCAGGACTATGGATAGAATCAAACCAGGACAAAACCAGGACTAAAACACGACTAAACCAGGGCTAAACCTAGAGCAGAGTGTTTTTTTTGTTTTTTTTTTAACATTTGTACCAAAACTATGACATGACGAGACGATTAAGAAAATCAAACTGGAGAAGGAAACGCGGACGTCACAGGAGCAGAGTTTTGGTTCTTGGCTCAGTTTGGTTTGTGTTTTTCGAGCTTCTTCTCTCGGTGTTTTGGCTCAGTTTCAGTTTGGTTCGTGTTTTTCGAGCTTCTTCTCTCGGTGTTTTGGCTCAGTTTCAGTTTGGTTCGTGTTTTTCGGGTCCGTCGCCGTGAGGAGCTCGGTGTGACCTGAGTCTGAGTTGCTCTGGTCTCACTGTGGACTCTGAGTCGACTCCTCTCCACTCGGCGCCAAACTCAACCATGATTTATTTATTCTGAGCTTTCGATTTGGATTTAAATGCTTGTTATAGCTGAATATTTTAGTACCACCAGCGGAGAATTCTGTAAAATGATCAAAAACTAAAAAGAAAAGAGCCCTCAGCTGTTTGTGAGGTTCTTTTGTGCTTTGAAAACGGGATAATGCAGCTTTAAAGTTCATACAAACTTTTAAAATACGATAGAAAAGTTTAACGCCGCACTTTGGAACATTTTAGACAAAGAACAAACATATGGTGTTTAAACAAGGTGTTCCCCAGGGTCTTGTTTTAGGGCCAATGCATTTTTCAAAAGTGTTTCAATAGTTTAAGGTTGAACTTTTTAATGTTGCACAATGCGGTGAGTTAAAAACTAGGAATGGTTTGAAAGAATCAGAATTTCTAACTTATGTGCAAATTAAATCTGTTTTAAAATCTTCACTGTCACAGTAAAACAGCACAAGGGACAAGAAGTTTATAAACTTTTACGTCACACCAAATGGGATGTCAATAATGTAACAAAAAATGTATGGGATTGTAATACAGGAAACCCTATAACTGCCCCACAATGGGAAACTGATTCATCATCCAGTTTCACTTTGTGGAAACTGTGGGAAATTATATGCTGATCATGCTAATTCACCTAACATTATAGACTTTAGAATGACATGGGTGGAAAACGTGTGATATCTATAGGTTTACATAACATGTTTTTCTTGCATAAAGAATATGTTTTTGGACTTTGAGATGCAAGGAGCAGCAAAACTGACATATGTGGTCCCCGTGGTATGGTCCCACCCATGATAAGGTGTACTGGGTCAGCAGTATTGTTCATTTTCTTGCTGTATATGCTAACTCAACAAGTTAATGTTTTGTCAAGATGTAGTATAAAGCTACCCCTGATTTTGAGTTGGAGTGTAGAGGCGTCGTTCCGGGGTGACAGTTGTACATGGTAATCAACTTGAATCCTCTCAATGGAAAATGACGAAATAAAGTGGCTTGTTCTCTCGGATCTCTCGTGCTTCTTTCTAAGGACACGCATGGAACCTTCAGAAAAAACCCACAAGTGGTGACCCCGAGGGTGATTTGACAGAGTAATGTCTGCAAACGATGCCTCCCACGAAATCCTGGAAGTAAAGACACGAAGAACATGTTCCCAAAAGAAGGTATGACAGCGACCTTTGTTGTTTCAGAATTCCTGTCAGATTGGCTAAATGTAAAAACTAGAAATTGTGTTTACTTTCGGGACTTTTGTGTGATCAATTTAAAAATTAATGGAAAACTGATTATCGCATGTTATGCTTCATGGAGAAGAAAAAAGCAAAAGCTCGAATCCGTGTTAAAAGGCTTCACGTAGAAAATAAGCCAGAAGTATGTTAATTGAGATTGAAAACAAAACCAATAGTATGTTTAGGCTTTAATCACATAAAGCGTAATTAAGAAAGTTATTAATTTTATAAAGGTTCCGTGTTATCCTTCACGAGAGACAAGAAAGGAGGTTTTATAAAGAAATTTATTTGCGGTTAAACTTTTTTACGCAGAGAAAAAACTAAACTTTTAATGGAGTTTATATTTAAAAAAGAATAAAAAACTTAAGTTGCGCACAAAAAGTAGAACACGAAGAAAGGAGTCAGATTTAATATAGAGACAAAAAAGTAGAACCAATTGAAAAAACAGTACTGTAAAATAAAATCTAAATTGTTATGACAAAAAGTATTAGTGTTTTTATTTAAATTATGAGCTCTAAAAAGAAACCGAACCTGTTCAAGGAAAATTGAACATGAACATGAAATTATAAATGACCGAAGGTCTAAAAGAAACGAGCCTGTTCAAACGAACATGAAATTATATGAATTGACCGAAGGTCAATAGAACAAGTGAACCCTGCGAAGCAGAGAGTGTGTCGCCCTCCCCACGGCAACACATGAGCAACTAAGAAATAAGTCACCTTTAAAATTGTAACAGTCTTAACTTTAAATTTGTAGCACTAAAAGCCACGTTTGCAAGAAACAAGTCAAATAAGTTTAATAAGTTTAATAAATGTTATTAGTGAATCTGATATAACCATGAAATAGTTAAAGAAGTAACCGGTTTTGGGAGTAAGAGATTACAAGTACCAGCATTATGTAATCAGAGTACAAATTATGAGTAACTGTGCTCAGTTACAGTTACTGTCTCAATGAGTGGTAACTGGATTACAGTTACTTTGTAAAAATGAAATAAATTACTTGCAGTATTTTCCTGTTTTTACATTTGGGACTGAACTGGGTCTGAATCAGGACTAGACCAGGTCTAAGTCAGGACTAGACCAGGTCTAAACAAAAGATAAGATAAGAGTGAAGCGGCAGTAAACTCACATAGGAAGCATTTTTCTATCAATAATTCAATAGGCTTAAGGAAAAACTGAGGTTTTATTGTCTTCAAGTAGATAAAACATTCCACGCCAAGATATTCTGGTCTCTTGTTATTTTAGAACAAACAGTTGTTTATCTATGGAAATTTAGGTTTAATAATTAAATAAGAACAAACAAGAATTTGCAGGATGTGGTTGCTCCATTTGTGTAGTTTTAAAACCAAGATAATATCAAGTAATTCAAAGTATTCAGATAAAGTTACTTTAAGAAATTTTAATTAATTCTGGGCTATGTAATCTGTAATCTGGACTCTGTAAGGGAATATGTTTTAAAAGTGACCCTCCTAACACTAAAATAACTGAGAATGCAGTAAAAATAACGCAGAATCTTTGTCCTTCAAACTCATCTAATATTGCCAAAATACTAAAAGATCTAAAAGAAGAATATGATATATTAAAAACGATGTTGAAAGGAAGTTTTGGTGGCATTTTATTCTGGGGTACATTGTTGTTATGGCTGCCCGCTGGTTGGGATGATGGTAAATGATTGATTTGTTGTCCATTGGCGTTTGCTCGGCTTTTGTCAGTGTCTGATTCCCCATGAGGTTGTTTTGCTTGTTGGCTGGGCATTTTGCGTGCGCTCACCTGTGGGCGTTACTTGCCGCTGCTTTTCGATGCGATACTGGCTCCTCGTATGTGAATTCAATTCATCTGCGGGAGCGGTTTGGTGTCGTGTTGATGAGCGGTGGTGGGAGGCGCGTGTGCAGGGGGCGTATGTGCTGGTGTCCGGCTGATGGCGGAGTGGGTTTGTGGGGTTTTTTGACGCTGGTTCGCGCTGTGGGAGGTGAAATGCTGATGTTGCTTAAACTGCTTAAACTGCATTGTATATTTGATTTAGATTTGTTCAAAAGTGCTCCGTTTTAAATTTAACTAAGCATGTTCAATTGTGTTTATGGTAAAGAGTAAGTTTGCCAATTTGCTTGATTGAAGATGCTTATTTATGGTTTAAATAAAATGATGGGCTATTGCTGAAGTTTCTGAAACAGCGTGGAATTGTTGAAAGCTTTGACGGCTTGATTCAATTAATGCTGTGACTTTAAGCTTGGTAATGGCCTGTTGTTCCATGTTGAAATAATAAATCCGTGTGATAATACAGTAAACGGAGCATTTTTTGATTAAATACAGCATTTCATTTCTCAACGGTGTCGGGCTGAGCGGGTGCTGATGGTTAACAATTCGTAACTGTTGAAGGTTATTAAAAATTGATGAATGTGCCCTGGATTATAAGGTTACCAAATGTAGCTGATCATTTGTGTTAAAATTTGAAAACATTCTTAAAACTTATAATCCGTACAGTTTAAAATTGCGATGTTTAGTTAAAAAGTCATATACAACATTCTCTTGTTGCGCTTATGGTTGTTATATAGACCTGATATTAGTGTTTATCCCTGTACCTTAAACCTGTTTTTAGTTGACATGATACAAAATAAGTTTACTTGTTTGAATACCGTCTCTTAATGTTGATCTATAAAATAAAATTGCGTTGTTTATAATGCTTAGATTTAGGTGTTGTGAATTCTGGTTTTGGAGGAGCAGATGGTGTCGATATTTCAGACCTGATTTGGTCTTGGTTTAGTTTTGTTTGGGCCTTGCATGGACCAGTTTTGGACTTGGTTGGGTTCAGGCTCAGATCTGGTTTAGACCTGGTCTGCACCTGACTTGGTCCAGTTTTGGTCCGGACTTGGTCCTATTCTGGTCTAGTTTTGGTTCTATTCCATTCTAAGTCTAAATTTAGTTTGAGTTTAGCACTGTTTCATGTCCAGGTGTGGTTTAATCTGGTCTAGCCTTAGTTTAATTTTAGTCCAGGGGTAGTTCTAGTTTAGTTCAGCTTTAGTCCTAATTAGATCCTGGCCTAGTTCTGTTTCAGAAGTAGTCTTAGTTTAGTTCTGGTTTGATCCACTCTGCCTCTCCAAGCCTGAATTTCGCTCACATTTTAATTTTTGATCTCAGTATTATCCGTACAGTTATTCATTCTCTTATAAAGTCCACTTTAAATAGTTCAACGTGTATTATCAATTTATGCCGAGTATTTTGACAAAATTGCGATAATAGTTAAAAGGTTTTTTCATTCTGAAGTTCATATTCTGTTTCTGGCTTGTCCCAAATCTAGTATCTAAAACAGGGTTATCACTAAAATAATTATTAGGAAAACTAAAATAAAAAGGGAAATTAAAATGTTTAAGTTGACCCATGACTTAGTCCCAAATTATATTTGAGGTTGAAATTTGAGGTTAATACTCTTGCATTGAAATAAAATGGTTAGACAGAAAATTGATTAATGATTGCGAAATAACACTGTTATTTCAAAAACAATCTAAAATTGTTAAAATAATTTGTAATTAAAGAATCTCAAACAAAACTATAAAAAGATAATGCTGGCTCCTAAAATAATACTTCAAAATTATCTAAGATACATTTCTTCTTCTCTTAAGAAATCCAACTAAGGATGTGGAAGCCGCCCAGAGAGATCAAAATAGCCTTAGTGCCCACAGGTCGTCTGCGAAATAAAATAACTCATAAAACAAAAACTAAGAAGAGGAATCTCAAGGAAACAAGTCATTCCAAAACAATTATCGACCAGTTTAACACGGACCAAATTTCGAGCAAAACCAAAATAGTGATTCACCATCTAAAATAATAAGACTCAATCCAAAGAATTAAAACAATAACCAATTGATAACAACAGCAGCTGAAAAAGATAACACTATAATTGATAACACAGAGGTCCCAGAGGTGTCACAATGTCTCAGTTTGTTACATTGAGCCAGTTGAAGGCTTCTGGAACAGCAAGGTGCTGGAAGAAGAAGCTGACCCAAAGAGCCCAAGCAAATCTGTATACCATTCAAGATGTGAGGAGACATTACGATATGCAACAAACATACCATCTGAAAATGAAGGATGCCATCCCCAGATGATGAAGAAGACGGCCCCCCCACCATATCAAAGTGCCACTAACAAAAGCCCAAAACTCAGAACACCCTCCACTTCTATGATGCCATCCGATCCAGTGACATGTCGGCCTCCCAAAATAACTCATAAAGTGATTGGAGGAGAGTTGGCGCAAACATCTGTTGGAGGCCCTACAAGAGAACTAGAAGAAAAAATCAAATCTGTCCAAAGCCAAGTGTCTGCATTGACCCACATAATAGAAACAGAGAAGATGCTGAGACGAGTGGAGGAAGAGAGTCAAAACGAAAGACACATGCTACGAGTTTTTCAACAAAGGAGCTGACATCTTCCTGGAGTTTGTTTCACCTCAACTACCTACAGAAGCTGCACTGCAGTGATGTGACTCTGGTGGTCTTTTTCATCATGTTCGCTAAAACCAACGACTTCATTGTGGAGTCACTGAAGGGTCAGTCCATCTACAAGCAGCAATGAGACACTGCTCACTCTGTGAAGGACAAGTCTGGTCAGCAGTTCTATGACTCTTTGCTCAAGGATCAGATCCTTGACATGAACTTCATCCATGTCCGAGAAGGTTCCACCATCACGAGGAGAGACATTCATGCTACACAGAGACGTGGCCTGCCTGTGGTCACTACACACACTGTGCTGGACAATGCTGTTAACCCCATCCTGACTAAGTGTGCTGCACTAGTCTCTGCAACAACTGGGTAGAGATCATCTTCCACTCAGAGTTCTTGTCTTCTACCAGTCTTCCTGCCCATGGACTACGACAACTTTATACAGCTGTGATCTGGAGAGTTCCTCTCCTACTACGAGCTCTGGGGATACACTCCTGACGAGTGCACGGTCAGGGGACATTCCCAGTGTTACCACTCACCTGTCAAGATTTGTCTGTTTCATGGAGAGCAGGTGACTGACTGCTCTGCACATGAGATCTATTGTGGTTTGCAGGTTCCACTCTGCAGACGACTCTGTTACCAGCTGATGCAGTGCATGTTCAGCTTCTGTCAACAGTTCTGCCTTGGACACATCATTCGACAACTGCACTGAGCCCATCTGAGCGCCTCGACTGGAGATGCCTGTGCTGGTTCTATGTCCACGCTTGACACCTGGTCGCAGTGGAGCCTTCCCAGGCCAGTACAAAGTGAACTTCTTCTTCTTCTCTATGGACAGTGTACTTCAATGTGCTACCATCCTACACCATGATGTCATGGGAGAACCAACTGAGGCAGTGACTGGCATGTCACTCATGTTCTACTCTGGATGAAGATGGAGAAAAGTCGACCAGTCCAGACATTGCTGAAACCAGAGACCCTGAGAGACAACTCTGACTACATTCCACCTTTAGGACTCCAGAAGAGAAGGAGGAGAAGAGAGGGAGAAAAACATAGAAGGAGAGTATAGGCCATATGCTTTGGAGAAATTCTTAAAGTTAATTTTCAGTGTTTATTTTTGATTATGCTAATTTTTGTCTGTTTTGTGTGATCTGTTATAGTTTCTATCCATACTACTACTGGCCTCGGACAGACGACAAGCAAATTGATAAGCTGTGATACAACAAATTGGCAACTAACAATATGGTAAGAGACAATGAGCACAGAAATGAAATGAACAAAAGAGAACCACCAAAATTTGTAAATTTTGTTATAAGTTGTCTGAAAGAGACACTTGTCTGATAAAAGAAATAATACTTATGCAATTGGGATTGCCAAAGTTATACTACTTCTATACCATGCAATAGAAAATAAAGTTACATTTTGAAGGTTACATACAAATTACATTTTAAACTGATAAGCCCATTTAAGAGAGTGATTTAATTTTTCCAACTAAAGCAATTGAAATTGAAACAGGACAAACTTTGAAGAAAATACTTTGTAATTTGATGTTGCATTATTCCATGTCTCAGATCACTAGTAGAACGATTAATTACTACTGCCTTAACACGAAATGCTCCCGTCTCCCAAATTTTGTTACTCTCTGCTGATTCTCAGCTCTCACGTTCTGACTCCAATAATTGGGTTTGATTGAAACCCTACAAATTTATCCATTGATTAAGTAGAGATAAAACCTTTCTGAGTATGTGCTCCTGGTCTCTTATTTTCGCTGTCCGAGTGTCATGTATTGATTATGTACTATGTTATTCAAGTATATTGTGTTGACAAGAATCTGGGAAATGTTATAAAAGAGCTAAAGCTAACAAACAATTTTTTTAATATAGGGGGATTTATTATGTGGAGGTAGCATCTTGCTCCTCTTATTTTAGGTGGTGATTACATGTTTAATGTAATCAAAAGGGGGAATTGTGGGAAATTATATGCTGATCATGCTAATTCACCTAACATTATAGACTTTAGAATGACATGGGTGGAAAACGTGTGATATCTATAGGTTTACATAACATGTTTTTCTTGCATAAAGAATATGTTTTTGGACTTTGAGATGCAAGGAGCAGCAAAACTGACATATGTGGTCCCCGTGGCATGGTCCCACCCATGATAAGGTGTACTGGGTCAGCAGTATTGTTCATTTTCTTGCTGTATATGCTAACTCAACAAGTTAATGTTTTGTCAAGATGTAGTAAAAGCTACCTGATTTTGAGTTGGAGTGTAGAGGCGTCGTTCCGGGGTGAAGTTGTACATGGTAATCAACTTGAATCCTCTCATGGAAAATGACGAAATAAAGTGCCTGTTCTCTCGGATCTCTCGTGCTTCTTTCTAAGGACACGCATGGAACCTTCAGAAAAAACCCACAAAACCGTGTGACCTCGCAGCATTAGGATTCGTTCACTCAACAGTAGGCGGGGACTTTTTTATTTAACCAATCGCTGCTGTTTGGTCGTGCCGTTTGTAATGCACCAAATCCTGTAGGAAGAAGGACAATAATGTCTTTCCCCTTGATAAAATTCACCAAACATTCTCTTCGGGATCTTGGGAATCGTCGCTAACACAGAATGTCTGTCTTCGTCTACATCCATCTTGATGTTTTGTTTATTGTTGTGCTGTTCCACAAAAGGGACACAGACAGATGCCACCAGTTTGACGTTATGACTTCACAGCTCACAGATGATTGGCCGGCGTGCGGTCTACGGTTCTTGTAAACCGTCTCGTTTATTCTGATTCCTGATCTAGTCACTGGAGAGAAATGAACACATATACTAAACAAAATGGATACTGACGTTGTAGTGGATCGGCCGTGTTGTATGTTTGATGTGCAGAGCTCTACATGCCCAATGCTATATCTGCTTGGAAAAACGTAAACATAAGTGCTTGGACATAGACAGTTGGTACAAAGATGGATTTAATTTATACGGAGACAAAAAACAAACACTTTTGGCCCATGGACAAACTTGGCCCATGGACAAAGCACCGTAAAACATACATACATACACTATATGTAAGTGTATGTATATGCTTGTATAATGTACTGTATGTGTAAGTGAATTTTGGGGTTGCCAACAAAAAAAAAAAAAAGGATTAATAGAAAACAGATATAAATGAACAGAAAATATGTAAATGCAAATTTGATTTGAGAGCCCTAAAATGTAAATACACAAATGCAAACATTACACTGAGAAACTCTGTACTACACACAACTCCCCTTCTTTTTATTTACTTATTGCTCTTTTGTTGTTTTTTGTACGTATTTTAGTCTTATATTTTGTTATGTCTATTTTGTTAAAGTGCTGAGTATCCATTTCCCCAAAATGACAAAACTACATTTAAAAAAAGTTGCACAATGAATCTTTAAACATGTAAGATATAAACATTGTTGAGGCGTTCCTCAGGGTCTTGTTTTAGGCCCTTTGTATTTAAAATAATGTTTCAATCGTGTTAAATTTCATGCTTAAAGTTCCATATCATTTGGTACAAACGTCTGTGAAATCACCACACTGTTTCTTTTTGTCTCTAAACCCCGAGTCCGTCCTGATTTAGTCCTGATTTAGTCCGTATCGATCCTCTATTCTCGCTCTTCTCACGCCACTTTTCTGCTTTTTAACACCAGCGTTCATCCTTTATGCGCCGCGACCGAGCTACATCTGCTCCCGCCTCCTCCCGTTTCAATTAGCATCGACACGACAGCCGCAAAAAAAAAAAAAAAAAAAAAGACGGATTTACGCCGAGAACCCCCCGAAAGACGCGTTGAACGACCCGCGCCAGAATAAGGCAGTGCTGGAACTTCATTATGTTTTGTTCGCGGAGGCGCTTTGTCCGACTCCCGACTGCTCAAACCCAGTTCATCTTTGTCGTAAAAGCGCACAAAAGGCCGAGAGACGGGCCGGGGGCGGGCTTTATCTCCATCTGCATTCTCCTCGCTTGCTCTTTTGTGCGCGTGTGTTAAGTATCCATTGAGGCCTTAGCGAAACAAAATGGCCTCCACTTGACCCCGTTGCCCCGCGCTTCTTTTCAGTCGCCCAAACTCCGCCCACGAACCCACGAAAAGGCTCCAGCTTGTGTCTTGGCATTTGGCACCGTTTTGTACTTTTTAATGAGTTGACTGCCCCCCCCCCCCCTTTTTTTTTTTTTTACTTTTACTCGGACTTTGACTTGTTTAAAAAGCGGAGCAGGTGGTTGAGGGTTGGATTCCCGGCTGGTTGGGAAGAAAACACAGAAAAGCGAAATAAAACGAATAGGCCGGTGTTTTTGTCGGAGCGTGTCACATTTGTTTAAATAAAAAGAAAAAAAGCAGCTGGCGTGTTTTGTCTCCGTCCGGTGTCAATAAAGATGAGTGGAGTTCGGACAGCGCTAAAGAGTTGGAAGATTAATTGCCGTGTTTTATGTTTAAAGCTGCACTACGGAGCTTTTCTAGTGAGGCTCCGAATCTGTGTGTCATTGATTCATTCGGTTTTCAAAATAAAACCAAAAATAAAAACGAAAAAACAACTATTTTCAGATAATGATTCGGTTTTTTTTTCAGTTTTTCGATTTTGTGTTTAAATGAAAAATGGAAAAAAACAGATAATGGACTAAACCAGAACTGAACCAGGACTAAAACAGGTCCAGGACCAGATCAGAACCAGACTGGGACCAGACAAGTACTGAGACTGGGATCAGACCAGAACTGAGATCAGGATTGAGACCTGGAACAGGACCAGGACTGAGACTGGGACTAAACTGGGACCAGGCCGGGACTGAGACCGGGACCGGGACCAGACTGGGACCAGACCAGAACTGAGGCCGGGACCAGACTGGGACCAGACCAGAACTGAGGCCGGGACCAGACCGGGACCAGACCAGAACTGAGGCCGGGACCAGACTGGGACCAGACCAGAACTGAGGCCGGGACCAGACCGGGACTGAAAATGGGACCAGCCCGGGACCAGACCGAGACTGAGACTAGGACTGAGACTGGGACCAGACCAGGACTGAAAATGGTATAGTCCTGCTTTAGTCCTATTTTACTCCTGATTTAGACCTGGTTTATTCCTGGTTTAGTCCTGGTTTAGTCCTGTTTTTGTCCTGCTTTAGTCCTGGTTTAGTTCTGGTTTAGTCCTGTTTTTAGTCCTGCTTTTATATTCTGTAGTTGATTATAAACGGCGTTAATATCAATAACCTGATTCTGCATCATTTTGAGTAAAAAAACATCAAATATTCCAGATTTTTCCTGGTCTGGTCTTTATGTTCGTACTGAAAGTGACTTCGTTGGGTCAAAAGTCTCCAACTCGGCTGAAAAAAAACGTACGATTAAAGGATAAAAGTCGTGTGGCTCAGCACAGAGGGTCAGACCTGTTTAACGTCCACATGAAGTCACAGAAACGTCCACTTTTCCACAAATGACAAATCTCCAACACTGTGTCCAATCGATTTAATATAATGATCTGTGTTTCCATAGCGACGCTCCAGACATGTTTCCGCCGCTCCGGGACTCGCGCCCGGGACTCGAGCCCGGGACCGGAGCGTCGTCTCGGGGTGTGTGGTCCAGGCTCCTGGTTCTTTTATTCAGGTTTAATTTCACACTGTCACACTGGTCATGTCCCCCCCCCCCCCCCCCCCCCCCCCCCCCCCCCAGCGCCTCCACAAGTCACAGCTGTTAACAACAATCAATTTACACTACTACTGCTACTACTACTACTACTACTACTACTACTACTACTACTACTGCTACTACTACTACTACTACTACTACTACTACTACTACTACTACTGCTACTACTACTCGCTACTACTACTACTGCTA